AAGCCGTCACAACACAGCAATTAATAATATGTGTTTGTAGTATCAAGTAGTACTATACTACATGTTTTGGCTTGCAAAAAGCCATCATCAGGTAAATACACTTAAAAACTTCTTAGCTTTGAATTGCATGCTAATTACGCAATGTAGTATCACATTTTTCAAATAGTATATAATAATATAAAATATAAAATTACATTAAAATTAAAGGTCTTAAAATGGACTAGTTACATAATTAAAGTACAGTTAAGAGTTGTAAAAGTAAAGTAAAAAGTTGTCCCTGTGCTTAACCAATTAAGCACTGTGCCATGAAGACACCTGAGGGAGTGGATGTGTAGACCCATACTTTCTTGATCTCGGCTGTAGTTGGAGGTGAGTGGTCAGCTTCACACCCCGGCCGCTTTACAGTTAAGAGTTGTACATATAATTATATTCCAAAGTAGGTAGTTGTAATCGTAATAATATGTGGTGTTGCTTATGCGTAAATATTGCATATACAGACTGTTGTTATGGTGCTCGAAGGTCCGTTGCCATATTGTACGTTATTATTTAATTTTGATTTCTATTTGATGGGCGCTTCCATTTATGTGTATATGTCCGATCTGGTGAGGAGGAGATTGGAATTGTAATCCACCTCTTCACCAGTTTGGACATATTCACATAACTACCTACTTTGGAATATAATTATATGTACAACTCTTTACTGTACTTTAATTATGCAACTAGTCCATTTTAAGACCTTTACTTTTAATGTAATTTTATATTTTATATTATTGTATACTATTTGAAAAATCTGATACTACATCATGTAATTAGCATGCAGTTCAATAACTAAGAAGTTTTTAAGTGTATTTACCCAATGATGGCTTCTTGAAAGCCAAAACATGTAGTAAAGTACTACTTGATACTACAAACACATAATTAATTGTTGTGTTGTGATGGATTTCAATGAAAGAAATGTATAATACACAATAGGATGCATTCACTGAAAATGATCTCTATTCATATTCATTAGAACTTCTTCTGTATCTTCTGTGATTTTCCAATCTGATGTTTATAACAAATGATGAGTCTACAGATTTTGTTCATTTCAAGGTCATTTTGTTGGTATATTTAATTTATTACATTAAGAAAGAGCAAGTGTTCACTGAACTAGAGAATTCTTTATGATTTACTGTGAAAATGTAACATGTGAGATTTGAGGTTCTCCGGGTGATGACTAGAGTACTATCATCTGGGTTATGGTGCTGTGTAGTCTGATGGAAGTTTACCAACATTTCAGAAGCTGTATATTCCTCCATGCTGTTAGCTACACAACATCATAGACCAGAAAATGGCACTCTTCAAATTATAATGTTATTTAAAAATGTGTATCTTTTAACTCAATAGAGCAATGGAAACTACTGTCTCATTTTGTTCTTACCTTTTCCTTACTGCATGTGATAAGAAATTAGTGACAAAATATTATATACACCTCATTCTTCTGAAAATCTTTTTCAAATCACACTTTCTTATGCCAGTGGTACATGAATTTAATGTATTTTGCATGTAATTTTTCTTGATTTTATTGCCACTTTTTTCCATGTATTTATCCCTTGGATCGAACCCTGGTGTGGGCTGGGAGGGCAGGTGGTGTGGGATGCATGCTGGCAGACTGGGCCACAGTAGTTCCCTGTATCTCTCTGTGACTGTTGGTTTGCAAGCATTGCAATTTAGATCCACAATGCCACTGTGTAAAACAGAATTGCCTTCATACTGAAGCAGCTATAGAATTTGTTTCTTAACAAACCTCCACTTTGCATGTCATATATGTCCATTTGATTTGGTTCATTCTGGTCTTTCACACTAGCAATTACTATATAAGGTTAATCAACTCTGTCCAATGTCATGCATGACGCTGTAGTTTTTAAAGGATCGAATTTTATATTCACGGCATTCTGATGATATTGTATGTATGTATTCATATTGACCAAACACATTGTAATAGTAGTTTCTGCCTATATTGATAAATCCTTCTGAAGACAATCTCTGAGACCGAAACATGTCAAGGATGAAAGATAAAAAAAAAAAAACATTTTATCAGTCACACTGGACAGAGTTGATTGACCTTTTATAATATGTGTCCATATTAGAGTGTCAAAGGACATGCTTTTTGCACAAATAACATTCCCGAATTGTAAAACAGACTTGGTTTTTTTCTGTTTTATGCAGCTTGTCCAATCAGACAGGCACAAAATTTTACAAATATCCTTGATGTTACTTTCACATAATGTTCACTATGATTTATTAACCTATATTCTTACAGACACAGCAAATGGACAGGTTATGTAAAACTTACAAAGCATCATTAAAAAATTACAAACTTCTGTCCCAGTGAATCAGTGATATTATATTATATTAAATACAAGTAAAGTTTAAAATTCACTGAGAGGAACTCATAAAGTCTCCAAACAGAAAATCAGTTGAAGCTTAATATCACCAGTCTTGTGTTTACTCTTATGTTTGTATCTTCTGTTACACAGGAAGTACTCCATTTAAAATAGCAGCAAGATTAAAGCAGAACATGAACTAACAAGCCTTACTTGCTGAAGTGACTACTGATCTTGTATGTTCCATTGTTTATAATTTATATAGTACCAAGATTCTTTGAAGTCTTATTCACTGACACTGCACTTGTAATTTAAAGAGAATGAACTAAATGAACATACTCCAACAAACCTTGTAAGAAACATATTTACATTTTTAAATATATGTGCTCATATCTGTTTCTCCTTGTGTGCCCTTTGTAGGAGTAGGGCAGTTGTTAAACAGATCCCGAAGAATGGTTACAAGAACATGAGAAAATGAATGTGAATTTTTAACAGTTTGTATCAAAGATTTCCATGTAGCAACAGATATAAAACTGTTTGCAGGGAAGTTGTGAGAAGGATTAATGAAATATTAAAGATTAATGCATGTGTATAAACAATCATTCTGCCCCATGTTTCACTTGTTTATCACATTTGACTTGTTGCCTTGAAGGAAGAAGGAAGTACAAGATCTTTGAAAATGAAATAATAAGAAACATTTTTGGATAGTGGAGAAATAAATTAAGTCGGGATTGTGAGATACCAAAACATGAGGAATGTCATGTTACGTATGTCGAACAGAATTCTATTAAGAGACTTACTCAGCCAGTCAGGGATTTGCAGTGGTGTTTAAAATGCCATCATGGGGTATTCTTTCCTAAGCCTTTTCACTCCAGTCCACATCTTCGTACAAAGTTATGCTGACAGAATGTTAACTACTGATTTTCATGTTCAATTATCAGTTTCAAGGCTACTTGCCAGAATGATGAAGGGGCTTATAATTTCTTCATTGTGGGTGAGTCCCCAATTATTGAGGTCAGAAGAGAATACTAAACTGAGAAATGGGATAACTATAAGGGTTCATCAGCGCCATCCATTGTGGCTAATAAAATGTTTTTTCCTTTTCAATCTTTTATCTTTAACATGTTTCGGTCTTATAGACCATCTTCAGAAGGTTATCAGTACAATCAGAAACCACTATTGCGATGTGTTTGTGAATATTAATATGTAATTAATAACAAATCTAATATTTTAACAACTACTGAAGATGGTCTACAAGATCGAAACATGTCAAGAATAAAATATTTAAAAGGAAAAAAACATTTTGTCAGTCACACTGGACAGTGATGATTAACCTTTATAATATTGCTAGTGTGACGAACCAGGATGAACCACATCCAACTTAGGAAATTTGAATTTATAAATACAGAGAAGAATGGAAAGACCTGTCATACTGTGCTGGAAGAAGTAGGTTTGAAATTACTATTAGTAATCCTGCTTACATACACGAACAGTAAGAGAAATGGTTTAAAGTTTATGTTAATCAAACTGTATTTGTCAGAGAGTGCTGAGTAATGAATTTATGATGTGTGTTGAAGAGCACACATCTAAGTTCCATCAGATTACTTATTTTTTATAAGGCCCCTGCACCTTTCCATCTTTTCTGTTATTCTTTCTTTGAGAAGAACTGCAAGAAGGTAATACAAAATAATTTAATGTTAATGTAAAAATCGTACATAATTTACTGAGGTTATGGAAATGCAAAGGTGGGCCTAATACAAAAATAATGTAAAGTGATGTAATGTGAATATAATACAAAACACACAAGAATTTCTAGAAGGGAAAGTCTGCAGCTTCAGAGAAATATGATTTAATTTTTGTCAACAGAGGTTCCAAATTCCTTGTCCATTCTCTGATGAAATTAAATTATGGCCAAACTTTCATGAGAGGTTTGATGATCATTAAATTTTAACCATGCTGAGCGAATATTTTACTAAGAGTGTTCTGATTTCTGATGAAATATGAGTATGTGTCATACTTCATTTTTTCTGCATTAATTTTTTTAAATTATTTTAGACTTATAATACATTTTCAAAGTGATTTTCTATGACAGTTATGTTTTTACATAAGAAATTAATATGAAAAAACATGACAAGATGATTATGTGTTCACCAATTCTGGTTTTCCTGATTCTCTTCCAGAATGCCATATTCTCAGGTAAACTAATGAGTGGTAGAAATATTTGATCACTTTTAACATATCCTTTGTGCATACTGAGAAACAGAACTGATGCATGACATACGTTCTAAGTATGTGATGCTGTGATTTTATTTCACAACAGTTGGTAAATTGTATGACATTCTAGTCTGTTGGAAGGTATGTTTATCAGGATTATTATTCTGGAACCTTATGTGTAATTAGTCACAGAGTTTTAAAACACTCTATTTCTGTATGTCAAAACATTGTGCCATCAGAAAGGACAAAGAAACTGGATTCAGCGTTCTAAGGATTTCTATCTACAAGTATATTCCCATATGCTTTATCAAAATAATTATCAAAAATGAAAAACTGGGAATAGAATGGATAACAGAAATCTGTGAAATGTAACAGTAGCATACACAGGTCTGGAACATTTGCTGATATCTGTGTTTACAGTTTATCTCAGACTATAATGGTGAGGACCATTATTTCACACGAATTGGACCTGGAGGACTTATCAACTTGGACAAGATCTATCGTACACAGGCTGTTATGGATCGTATTGCTTCATTCCACCAGCATTATCATGCACGGGGGCGGGAATCAGCACACAATGTGCTCCGGGACCAAGTCAGGTATGCATGGCATCAAAGTAGTACAAATTGTGTTACATTTCCTTTGTTTTTATTTTATCACACAGTATGTGTATTTTTTAGTTCTTAGGCAGTGACACTAAATCACATACAGTTTTTCCAATTCACAATTAAGGATCCAGGACTGAATGCCCAAAATCCTTCTGGTATAGTCCTCTTGACACAATGTGTATTCTACATAGCAGTGCTTTTCATAGTTTTGTCTTCCTGCAAAGTTGTTAATTTTATATTGAAAGTTTAATTCAGAAATGAAATACCAGAATTCTGGATGCTGCTCCTGCCATGAGAATCCAGCTTAGTAATCTTACAGCTAATGCTAAGAGAATTTGTGATAACAGCAACAACAGAGACATTACCTTCATTGATTTCACATACAACACGGAAAAATATTTCAACTGTATTTTCCATCGTCTTTAGTTTTGTGACATGTGTTGTATTATGTGTCCTTCTGTACCAGTAGCCTCTAATTTTGATGTGGGGTTATGGTAGAATTGTACTGTGTGTATTGTGTTGTGTGGAGGATAAGAGTAGGGAAACATTGCTATATAGCATCATAGAGATCCTGATTTTGATTTTGTTTCTATGTAGATAAAGACTGCATTACCAGTAATTTGGAAGTCCTTACTGTCTCTTTCTCCAAGAAAAAGTGACTGTCCAATTGTCCCTTCTGATGCAATACATGTCCACTGGTTGTTTGAAACTGCTCACTTTCACACACGTATTGACCAGAAGCGGAATGTTGAGAAAGAAAAATGGGTTTAAGTAGGTAGTTGTAATCTTTTGGGGCAGGGATGGTGTCTTTTTGGGGGCAGGGATTAGTAAGTGAATTTGATACTGGAGATGAAGGTACATCTTCAAGAAATGTATAGACTGCTGGACTTGAAGTAGAAAAAATAAAAAGAGGATAAATGAAAAATAGCTAAGGAATAAGAATAAATATATAAATTCAGAGGTGTAATTTTCTGTATTAGTATTGCTTACCTTGTGGTTGCAGTATTCACACATCCAGCATTGAGCGTTCGTATCTTGTGGATGAATCAGAGGATCATGACTATGACCTTGATCTCGATACATACCGGCCTGTACAACCTCTTAGCAATGATCACGGTGTCAGTTTCTTTCCCATCTCTGCTCCTCACAGTGGAATTGATCACCACATATTACAGGTAACAAAGAAAGGACCTTCAATTTCATTAGATTCTGTGCATTTGTGTAGTAGGGAAGGTCTTAAAATGTTTGACATTTTGTTGACTACCACAATTTTATCATTGTACCGCAATGTCATTTAATATAAAAGAATGTAGTAAAGGTACGGTACTTCCGATCAAACTTTAGAGAACGAGAATATCAATGCATCTGTGTTATTTGGTATGGTATGTATTCTTTTACTTGACACATTAATGTCACGAGCATAAAGAAATACTTAATTGAAGCCCATTTAATTCCAGTCTTTCCTGATTAACTTGAACTGTTCTATTGGCTTATTATAGAGAAAAATGAAGAAGTAGATGGGGAATGAAGTTTCTCATTATTTTAATCCAAAGACAATGACAGATTCATTACTTAATTTACTTACTTGAGACCAGTGACACAGTGTGAGAAATGAGGATGATGACTACCATAAGGAAAATATTGGGATGTTAATTAATTTGTTTTAATTAAGGTCAGTTTATTTTAATCAGGAAATATCACGTTCACACACGATACAAAATTTTGATATACGGTGCAACAATTTTATCAAGATAGAAGACTCCTGGAGATGCGTATATACAATTAATTATATATGTACTAATATTTAGGTGTTGCAGATTTTACAGTACCTGTGACATAACGGAATTATAAGAATTTCTGTAATTTCTTATGTACTCCTTACCTACAACTGTCATCATGTGCTGTAATATCTCTGAATTCTGTGGTAGGCAATCTGAAGAAGGCTTTTCAGCAAATAATATGTACCACTGAAATATAAATAAAAAGGGGGTGGCAAAGCGGTTGGGCTTTGTATAATTATATAGTCGCATGTTATGAGACATCTATAACGATTGAGTTAAAATGTGTACCCTTGTGTTAACAAATAAACCGAGTGGCGGTATCTGTAACTTAGGTTAGGCTACTCTCTCATTTTCAAAGGTGGTTCGAAACATACTAATCTCAAAATATTTTTTCCTTTTCTCAGCAGATGTTATTTAAATGATCTAAAGCCTAATAAACATAATGCAAGCCTTTAGGTTAAAAATATAAAACAAGCACATTTTTTCCTAATTGAAATTGCTTATTTTAGTATTATTTACTTCCGACTGAAATTAGCAGTGAACACTTTTTTATGCAAGCCAGTGGAAGTAGTGAAACAACAGTGCAGTGACTCTAAGACTCGCTTAGCCTCCTATTGAATGGAACGGCACTGATGGAACGCCTGTCACTTACAAGTTGTTCCACAATAGGTGCTGCATCATGGGAGCACAGCAGTGCACTGGGATGCTGAGGGAGGTTCACGGACGGCACTAGTGTATGTCAGATTGGAGCGGAGTTGTGCTACTTTGACATGGAGCCGTCCAGGATGGAGTGGACTGCGAACTGGCACAGGTGGCAGTGGTTCTTCCCCCGATTACAGGTGCTTAACTGTCCTTTCCATCTGGTAAACGCTGTTTTACATATTTCAAATTTCAGAGTATGATTTGGGCTGCAACAATTCATCAAAGTCATACGAGGTGTATCAGAAAATTCCCAGACTAGGTCAAAAAAGAAATGTTGGCCTAACTCACCCAAATTTGGCTGCCATCTCATTAAAAATAATCTCCTTGAGAACTTATGCAGTGATCCCATTGTTTTCCCACACTTCAGAGGCACCGTGGAAGTCACTTCCCTCAATCCTGTCGAGTGCTTTTGAGAACATACACGGATCCCATTGTTTTCCCACGCTTCAGAGGCACCGTGGAAGTCACTTCCCTCAATGATGTCTAGTGCCAGTTGTGATTCCCTTTGGATGTCATACTCTTTTCAAAATGTCATCCCTTTAGATTTATTTTAATTTGGGGTTACAGTGAGAAGTAACAGCTGGGAAATCTTGTTATGTCTCTATCATGCAGGTCTGAAAGTAATGAATTATGCCATTGTAATATGATTACAGTCTGTCAGCAAACCCAGAGGAAACAGTAGCTCCAGGTCTGGTAACAAAGCTGTCTGCACCAGGTGGTGAGTCCGCAGGAGTGGGCCCAGAAGAAGGCTATTTGGACCTTGCCATCGTCAAGGAGATAGTACCTGGAGTTCGAGATAGGGATAAAGATCTTGATCTTGCCACAGCTTGCCGCCGTTATGGGCTTGACCGGTTTACTGGTTCTGAGTGTTGCCTGTCACTCGTGTATGGAGTGAATCTCAGTGACAACCGTGTCCTTTTTCTCCTCTGTCCACCTACACTGTGCAGGTATAGTCACATTTTTCCTTTGTGTTCAGTAACAGGGCATAGCCCCTGACACTTACTCCAAGGCTTGCTGTTATAATGTATGAAATTCACTATTTTCATAATATAACAACTTACTGTCCTTTAGGCTGTGCCATAGATCAAGTGGTTAGCTGCTGGCTTCCCACCACAGCAGCCCAGGTTCGATCCAGGGTCTCGACAAGTGGGATTTGTGGTGAACAAAGTGGCACTGGGGCAGGTTTTCTCCAAGTACTTCAGTTCCCCTGCCAATCTGCATTCCACCAATTGCTCCACAGTCACCCTCACCTATCATCTGGGGCTGGTACAATAGGCCAGAAGTGGCTGCAGTACAAGGGACTTAGTCCCACCCCACTAGCAGTAAAAAAAATACTGTCCATTACGTTAATAATTCAGTTTATTTGGCATCTTTAAAATCAAGAAGATTGCAGTTCTTTTGCCAGTAACATTGTCCCTCTTTTTGGCATGATTTGAGCAAATTTGCTCTGAGCTTTGACTCCCTTCTCTGCAGTTGGCATTCGTTTTATAAAATATCTGATGTTTGAGAGGAACATACTGCCTTCATCTCCAAGGTCGAAGGGCTTAGGCAAGCAAGGAACCAAGAGAAACAGGCAGTAAGCGAAGTGGCCTGCTTGCCATTTTGTTCTTGTTGATTTCTTGGTTGGCTTACTCTTTGGTCCTGAAGATGGAGGCAGTATGCTTCTCCAAAACGTTAGCAGACTTCTGCCAGACCACATGGCAGTACATCCCAGAATATAGTCTTCATCAATGCTATTAGATTTTAGAATGACCCTTTCTGCCATTGTTAACATTTGTGCTTACCTTTGCAGCTTTCTTCCCTGATAATCCGTCACAGGGTGCACTTGTATTTATTTAACACCTCATCCTGTATCTTATTTATGGTTCCAGTTTAGAGATTTTAGAATTTTCTGTTTTAAAAAACTTGCATAATAATAATAATTCAGTTCAGTTCAGTACGAGATTGCTAACAATGGCAACGATAACAATAACAACAGCAACAACAGACACCAATAAGGATACTGATTTGTAACAGCAATGATATCATCATGATACTGATGATAATGAAAACAATGGTGGTGATGATCATAATAATGATGTTGGTTTTCAATATACTCTTGTTTGTCCGTATGCTTTGCAGATTAGCTGCAGGGCTCTTAGGTATTGAGAGAGATCCGTTAAGACCACAAATAGTTTTCAATAATACAGAAATAGTATATCAGTCAGAGTTGAGATTTCTTGGAATTCACATGACAGAAACCCTAAAATGGTGCGCTCATGCTCAATTTCTGAAAGCAAAGCTATGCAAAGTAATTTATATGGTGAAAATATTAAAAGAAATAATGACTCCATATATAATAAAAATTATATATTTTTCGAATTTTGAGTCATGAATGAGAAATGGTATCTTATTGTGGGGTGGGGATGGGGAAAGTAAAAACATTTTTAAATTGTAAAAGTGGGTTCTTGGAGTGATTAGTGGTATTAGTAGTCGCACATCATATAAGCAAATTTTTAAAGATTACAATGTTTTAACATTGCCTTCTCTGTATATATTGGAGGTGACATGCTTTATCAAAAAATACAAGGCTTTTATGGCAATAAATTCAGACATTCGTAATTATAACACATGAAGAAAATTAAATTTTCATGTACAGCAATGTAATACAGCTCTTTTTAAGAGGAATGTGTTATATATGGGAATTAGTTTGTATAGTAAGGTCCCCGATCAAATTAAACAAAGGAAAAATTATAATTCATTTAAAAAGGAATTATAAAACCTTTTTTGCTGAAACATTCCTTTTATTCTGTAGATGAATTTATGTCTTTTGATTTTTCAAGTGTGTAAATGTAATTAATTTGTTACATTTGTGTAACGACAGTGAAATTAATGGTAACTAGATCTATAACATTATTCAGACGACAAACCCCCTATACTAGGGTGGTACACTGTATACTGTAAACATATGCATGAGAATTAGATGTAAAACCGACAATTTCCCTATCCAAATGGTTGTAATACCTGTATGTATTGTTGAATGATAGTAAATGTTAATGATAATGATAATTGTACCTTCCTGTAATGGTGCAAATGTTTCCCATTATAACTGTTCTTAGTAATATGTATCGCTAATGCTTTACAATAATTTCAAGTAGACTGTACATCTTCCCTGTCTATAACAAATTTGCATTTTTTAGTCTACTCTCTTTCATGCTGGTCTACTTGTATGCAACGCAGTTGCTTTTTTCTGTTAGAAAGATATTTTCCTCTCTTTAATAACCCATATTACTGACTGTATATAAGATTCTGAGGACTTAATGCAGTATGGACAGTGGGCATATCCAGATACCCTAATTATACATTTTTTTTTATTATAATAAAAAAAAAAACAGAGGAACACATCAAAAATAATTATTTTTGATGTGTTCCTCTTCCTTACCATGAATACTGTAGGGGTCACTGCACGTAATTATACACGATGCATGCATATGCATTAGTGAAGACCTATTTGTTTAATTATTCCACTACATTTTAATCTGATAGGATTCCTAACTCTCTGGTCTAGAATGTGGTATACAGGCCTATGTTGGGTTGTACGGGGACTGAAGCGGCAGCTTCAGCTGACAGATCGACGGATGTTATGGCTGAAGGAGCAGTACTTGCAATTGTACTTTGAAGAATGTTGCTGTGGGCCTATGACAGCTGATGCTATTAGGGTAGGTAACATCTGTTCGTAACTTTAACATTTTGTGGACTAAGTGAAAACATATTCTTGCTCATTATAAGAAGGAGGGTGTTACTGAAGTGGATCTTAAGCAAATAAGAAGGAAACTTGTTTGAATTGGCCCAGTATCATAAGGTTTTTGCACTGGCAACATAAAATACGTGTATTGTCACACGTAAAATAGTATGCATGATGAGAATGAAAGGTTCTATTTTGGATGCTTAGATTTATTAGCACCTTGGTTACAGCCTCTCTTAATTACCGTCACACACTTTCCAGTTCACTGTTGCGCACACACTAGGATTCTTCGTCATCACTAGTCATGTAAGATTTGAGGCTTTCACGGCGGTGACTATGAAGAAAGCAGTCTTCTTGGATTTGGCGCTGTGTGTATGTGGTACACGGTGCCAAATCCCAGAAGACTGCTTTCGTCATCACTAGTCATCTCTTAGCAATGGATCTCGACACAAAAACACATAAAGTCTTCCAATCGCACTTTAAATCCTCACAGGCCGACATCCTGTACTCTTCTTCTGTACTCCCGGTTTCACTTCGCTCCATTCGCTTGCTTCCACTGCTACTGTTTCTCTTGTCACACACACACTCACACTCACCGTCACTTCTAGTTCAACTCGATCTCTTCTCGAGATTCTGGTGCTACTGTTTCTCTCTTGTAACTGCTCCCAACTGAATTATGACATTTGCTTATGTAGCCGAGGGACCACCGTCAACCAACAGGTAACACATGTCACGTGACCCCAATTCATTCTTGCTGTATGACATCACTGCACATGCGCAAGCTAACAGACACAGAGGAAATATGTCACGTGAGGGCCACATACTGTTATGAGATGTCACAGCGCGTGCGTTGCACAGCAACGGTCTGTCCGTGTTCCTGTACTGTTGGCCATATGTGTGTTGCGGATGTTGTCTAAGAAGTGCTGATGTTTACACATTCACTGCTTATCGAGAGGTCTATACAGCCTGACAGAGATAAACGCTTGGTTGCACTGCTGCAGGTGGTTTAGGTGGAAGGGCACTTCTCATCTATAATATCTTGCTCATAGGAGAAGGAAAGAAGGATACATATATAATTACAATGCATTTAGCATGTCATAATATTTTGGGGTAATATCTGTTAGGTCCATGGTAGGACGCAGGAGACAGAAACCTTTTACATATTAGAATAGAAGTAGTGTGTGCACTGTGTGCACTGTGCGCAGGCTGAGGTCTAAATTAGCTTCTGTGAAGTAGTGTGTGCACTGTGTGCACTGTGCGCAGGCTGAGGTCTGAATTAGCTTCTGTGAAGTAGTGTGTGCACCGTGCGCACTGTGCGCAGGCTGAGGTCTAAATTAGCTTCTGTGAAGTAGTGTTGTCAATAAAGGCTGGTTCAATAACATCATTTCTAAGTGCATGAAAAAATAAACAATAAAGTTCCCTCTTAAATAATTCTGCCGAGAAAATACAAAATATTCTTGCAAACATAAAGTGTACATGCAAGTCTTTTTCTGTAAAGTCTTATATTAAAATTGAATTGGGCGCTGGACTTGCACATACCATACATAAATTTGTGCCTCAGCGCTGTGTACATGTACAGTATCCTGGTATTTTCTTATGGAAGTTTTGCCCAGTACCATACCATCAGGCCATGATGGCCCAACGGGAATGTAAAACCCCACGCTGTATAGAATTTTGTTCTAGAATGAATATGAATGGTCAGCTTCCTGTTATTACTGCATTATCTTCAGCAAAAGAGAACTCAGATTCCAGTTGGATAGGATTTGCATGGGATGTGAGTTGATGAAGAGAATCCCAGTGGCTTGGCAGGAATCATGTCTGTGCAGACTGTAGCCAGTCACATGTGACTGAGCTTCAGCAGGTCAAACTGAAGAGGGATTTATGTTTAAAGTTAATTATACTCTGTAATATGCTCTGTTGTCGATCATGGCAGGTATTTGGTGGACGGGATTGGGCTGTGACTGGTAATGTTGGAGGAATGTCCCCTCCAGATAATGGGACCTTACGTCGTGGAGCCTCTACAAAGTTCAAGAAAAAGAAATCTATTGGCAACATACAGACTCTAAAGGTAAATGGCACAGTTTAAGAAACACAGAAATCCAGTGACAGTATATTAGAATAATTTAACATTAATTTTTATGTATCTCACTACATTTCCTTTTGGTTCTGTCTCATTTCTTCTTCAGAAGTTAAGGCAACTTACACAACATGATTACATTTCTCCCGTAATTCTAATTCTGTGAAAGCAAAAGCTTCTCATCAGATCAAGAACAAGAACTTCTCTGCCTATAATGGAAGCCATTTGGTTTAATGCCATGTTCACAAGAATCTGCCACTGAACACTAATGTGAATCAGAGGAAGTCAGTATACATGCTTACACCCTTTACCTTTGAACACAGACTTAAATTTCGCCCTTCTGTGGCTGTCTCCTAAGTCTTCTCTTTGGTTCACATTTTCTGACTAAAATGTTATATCAGTTTCTGGTCTCTCCCATGTGTGTACATGTCCAGTCCATTTAACCTCCTCCATTTGATCATTAAAATAAAATCTGGTGAAGGGGGCAGTCTATGATGCTCCTCATTATACAGTTTCCTTCATGCTTACATTACTTCCTTCCTCTTACATCCACATAGTCTTCTCAGAACACCCTCTCAGTCTGTCTATATCCTTTAGAATGAGTGGCCCGTGTTTCACGGCCATTCGAAACAAAAGATAAAATTATAGTTTCATCATAAACCTTAACATAAAAATGAAATTAAATACAATTTAAATGGTTATCTGGCCAGTCTTGAAGTTGTTATTAAGCGGTTTAGATATTAATTATGACTGGAAAATGAAGGAATCGTAGAATGGCGCTCTTAAATAATTACACATGTTATCCAGTTGTTCTTTTTTTGTTCAAAGTTTTGTTCCTTCATAGATTTTTACCAGTTTTGTTAGATATAATTCTGCTTCTTTGTTCCTAATCACATATCTATTATTATTATTGGCACAAGTAGTAGTACTACTACTGCTGCTGCTGCTACTACTACTACTACTACTACTACTACTACTACTACTACTTCATACTACTACTGCTGCTACTACTACTACTCATGGAGCTGAGCCCTTCTTGAGAAGCTGCCAATTGTGCTCCCACTCAGGAACTTCCCAGCATTTTATGGAACCTGAACGTTCATTACTGTGTTCACAAGAGGCCTCCGGCAGGCCCTATCCTGAGTCAGATAAATCCAATCCATACCATCCCACCCTATGTCTCTAAGATGCATATTAATATTGAGCAATCACCCAAGCCTTGGTCTTCCCTGTGGTCTCTTTCCTTCTGGCTTTCCCACCAATATCCTATATGCATTTCTCGACTCCCCCATTCGTGCTACATGCCCTGCCCACCTCATCATCCTTGATTGATCATTCTAATTATACTTGGAGAAGAGTACAAGTTATGAAGCTCCTCATTATGCAGTTTCCTCCAACCTCCTGTCACTTCATCTCTCTTCGGTCCAAATATTCTCCTCAACAACATGTTCTCAAACACCCTCAGTCCATGTTCCTCCATTAATGTCAGAGACCAAGTTTCACACCCATATGAAACCGCAGGCAAAATTATAGTTCTGTATTTTTTAATTTTTATGTTTTTGGACAGAAGATGGGAAGACAAAAGGTTCTGGACTGAATGGTAGCAAGCATTACCCAAGTTCAATCTCCTCTTCATTTCCTCCTGAATCAGGTTTTGATTTGTTATTGTTGTTCCCAAACTGTGCCACATTTTCGAAACATCTGTTTCCTATCTTTATGTCATGATTTTGCCCTGCATTTTGGTGATGAGACAACAACATGTACTTAGTTTTCTCTGTGTTTTCTTCTAGACCAGCCTCCTTACTTGCATCAATTAAAATCTGTGTGTTATTCTTTACAGTATCTCTATTATCATTGAGCAGATTCACATGATCGACACAGACCAACAGCCGATGTGTCCCATTTAATTTCATTCCCACCTGGTTTTCCTGGACCTTCCTAATGGCATATTCTAAAGCAAAGTTGAAAAGCAGTGGTGATAAAACATCCCCTTGTTTTAGACCATTCTGGATAGCAAATTTATCAGACAAATATTTACCTACACGGACTTTACTATACGTTTCATTTAAACACATTTTAATCAACCTAACTAGTTTCATGGGTATCCCAAACTCTATTAGAATATTGTACAATAATTCCCTCCTAACTGAATCATAGGCTTTCTTGAAGTCTACGAATAGCTGATGCACTGTCTCATTGAACTCCCATTGTTTCTCCAGTATCTGACGAATGCAAAAGATCTGATCAGTAGTTCATCTGTTACATCAAAATCCACACTGATGATCCCCAATAATTTCATGTATGTATGGACTTAATCTCTTATCTGTCCTGTAATGGATTCTTGTATTACAATTTTGTACTTGATAATCAACATGCTCATTATTGATGAAGGTAATCAGAAATAGATTGATATATCATTTATTGTCTGTTTTTATTAAACATTTCAGAAGATGTCAGGGATCCATATGTTTTCAGGGGAAATTCATTATTTGATATAGAAGTTACATAAATGCATGAAAGTATCTGTTTTCTTTTCTCCTTCTTCTGTTGTTTTTTTATGGTAGAAATATGCACTAGAATTCACACAGTCATGACTTTTGTTGTACTTGTTTAATTGCATGTCATTAAATACAGTCTGTAATGAAAAGGTGTTAAATGAAGGCTGGAAATAATAATGAAATTTGGGTCTTGTGGCTCCAAGTGTCAATAAAGTAAAGTGTTATAAATCTGAAATGAAAGCCAACATTAAACTATGTACATTTCCATACACTGTTTTAACTCTCCAAGTTATTTCTCTGCTTGGTGAAGTAACCTTGAATGCACCTGTACAGAATTGAATTGAATTGAATTGAATTTATTTACATTCTATAAATCCTAAGCAGGTTAGTACCTTTGGATACAGAACAAGTCAAAAGCTTACATACATAAGTACAGGTAATTTTAGCTTAAAAATTAATATAACTTAATTTTACATCATTCTCTATTTACATTGAAGTATTCATCTAAAGAGTAGAAGGAATGAGCATGCAGATAATTCTTTAACTCTGATTTAAACTTTTTAGTATCATTGCCCAAGTTTTTAATACTTTGTGGCAGATTGTTGAACACTTTTATGCCAGTAAAGTAGACTCCTTTTTGATATACTGATAAAGTTGATGAGGGTAGGTGGAAGTTATATTTTTGTCTAGTATTCATGTTATAGACATCAGAATTTAATTTGAATTTATCTTTGTTGTAAACAACAAATAAGAGAAGCGATAATATGTATTGCGATTGAAGAGGTAGAATTTTTAATTTCTTAAATAATTCTCTACATGAATCTCTACTTCTACATCCTGTAATGATTCTAATTATATTCTTTTGTATTTTAAAAATTATTACACTATGTGAAGAGTTCCCCCAAAATATTAATCCATAGTTCATAATAGAATGAAAGTAGGCATGGTAAACCATCTTCAGTGTTTCCTGTGACATAAAAGGCTTAATTGATCTCATCGCATAGCAAGCTGCATTTAGTTTAGGCATAATTTGTTCAATATGTATTTTCCAAGAGTGTACTGTCTGCATGTATTCCAAGGAATTTTGTATCTCTGTCCCATCTTATTATGCTTCAGTTGAAGAGAAAATGTGTCCGGTGAAACATTAAGTGGATTGCTTTCTGTGGTTGGTAGAGTTTAAATCATATGCCTATGTTCAATGTATATTTGTTCAGGTGTAACTGAACCAAGTAGCACCAATTTATTAATCTGTGGTGCACTGGGACAGGCATCTGAGAAGGATATGGAGCTTGTTCCAACAGAATGGGCCTCCGTGCTGCATGATATCCCAGGAAAATGTTAGTTGCACAGTGAACATTTTCAGAGATACCTTTGCAAGTCTCTTCACCAGACCTGGCTTGACTATGTTCGAGGTTTTGCACAAGAGACTAAAGTTCATGTTTACAGGTTTCAGTTTGTTAGGAATAACAGATACAGATCAGGGTTTGAGAAAGACGTTTGCCTTATAAGTGCTTTCTCTCATTGAGACCTACCTCAACAAAATTAGTTTCTTTTGTGAAGTAATGTTTCATATGTGTGTAACAGTCAACAGGCCAAGTCAATACATATGGGGGATTGATAACCTTCATGAAGTTATTGAACATGAGTGGATCCTGTAACATGCTATGATGAGGAAGTGCATTATTAGTTCTGTCCTTTTAAAGATTGTATGGGGACTGGTGCCATGTTAGGTGGGTCCCTTGTCACCACGGCATGGTGCGTTCTCAGGTTGCGGATGGAGGAGACACCCTCCAGGCGTGGATGAAAGATGTGAATATATTGAATAAGCAGTTGTGGACAGCCGAAAATTGGTGGTCCTCCAGCTTGGGGTTTGGGTATGGGGCTAACAACTCCTCACCATAAAAAATAAACTTGTTACGAAAATTCTCAAGAAGCCTCGGACCTGGACGGATGCCTTGGATAAACGACCCAGGCTAAAGAAAACAGACATGAGACTCGGTACCTGGAACATCAGAAGTTAGTATAGGGCAGGTTCACTCGGGGCAGTGGCAGAAGAAATCTTAAAATATAAGTTAGATTTAGCGGGGGTACAGGAGGTCAGACAGGATGGAGGTTGGTCTATTCCAATGAAGTGAATCTACTGGGTGATAATATAGATACCATAAAGAAAAACACACAAACTTTAATTGACACAAGTGAAGAGGTTGGTCTAGAAGTAAACACAGAGAAAAGTAAGTATATGTTACTGTCTCATCACCAAAATACAGGGCAAAATCATGACATAACGATAGAAAACAGATGTTTTGAAAATGTGGCACAGTTCAGACACTTGGGAAAGATGATAACAAATCAAAACCTGACTGAGAAGGAAATTAAGAAGAGATTGAACTCGGCTAATGCTTGCTACCATTCGGTGCAGAACCTTTTGTCTTCTCATCTGCTGTACAAAAACATAAAAATTAGAATATGCAAAGCTACATATAATTTTGCCAGTGGTTCTGTATGGGAGTGAAACTTGGTCTCTTGACATTAATGGAGGAACATAGACTAAGGGTGTTTGAGAACAGGGTGTTGAGGAGAATATTTGGACCGAAGAGAGATGAAGTGATAGGAGGTTGGAGGAAACTGAATAATGAGGAGCTTCATAACTTGTACTCTTCTCCAAGTATAATTAGAATGATCATGTCAAGGAGGATGAGGTGGGCAGGTCATGTAGCATGAATGGGGGAGATGAGGAATGCGTATAGGATATTGGTGGGAAAGCCAGAAGGAAAGAGACCACAGGGAAGACCAAGGCATAGGTGGGTGGACAATATTGAAATGGATCTTTGATAGATAGGATGAGATGGCATGGGGTGGATTGATCTGGCTTAGGATAGGGACCAGTGGGCGGCTCTTGTGAAAATGGTAATGAACCATTGGGTTCCATAAAATGCTGGGAAATTCTTGATTAGCTGAACAATTTGCAGCTTCTCAAGAAGGGCTCAGCTCCATAAGTAAGTAAGTAAGTATGGGGACTGGTGAACATTTTCTAGCTTTGTGTCATATTCTTTCAGGAACAGTTTCTCCTTGTCATAGGGCACACTACTTCATTTCTTTTTCATACTGATGTCTTTACGGACAGAAAGCTTTGTAGCCATTGGATAGGAAGGGGGAAGCAAATAACTTATCCCCTTTTTTCTCCTGATCTTAGTTTTGTATGTTTTTTTCCATTTTGGGGGTTGTAGAAGACTTCATTTATCAAGAGAAATGCAGTCTATGAATGAATTGCATGAAATAATGTTAGAGCTGTAGAGAATGTTACCAATGAAATGTTTGCCAATGCCTGGTGAGAAGTTGAAAATTGCCAATGATGATTTCCATGCTGAAATCTACTGAACAGTTAAGAAACCTGGTGAGGTGCTATGTTTGAAGATGAATTAGTTTGAGCTAGACACTTACTGACAAAAGCTGTAAAGTATTTTATTTTATTGACATATGGGTCGTGACACATTGTATATTATTTAGGGCTTGCATAGATTTAAGTGTAAGAGTCACTTCTGAGGGAACTAATTTAACTTAAAGAATTCACGAACAACCAGCATGCAAAGTTAGAGAAGAAATCCATCTATATTGTCACATGTATGGATTGATTATAGACAGCATTTGGTTCAGTAATTGGATTTATTGAACTCTATTTAACGTGAAACTTGTGACTACACTTTATAAATCACTGTCATACAAAGACTAGTGTTCTCAGTCTGTTACAGTCTCCACTAGCCGTTGCTTGGTAGTGGTTCTTAACAGCAGACGTTCCCCTTCCTCTGGGTTCCTGAATTCTCCCCAGCCTCAGCTTCCAGCTTTTAACAGCAAGAGCTCACAACAGCTGAGTCCCAGTAGTCCTCTAGCTAACTCGCAAGCTCACTGTAGCTTCTCACTTGTCCTGCTTATAACATATCTGCATGGACCGCATAGAAAATACTGCTCCTCTGTTGCAGTGCAGTTGTTGCCATGGAATTGTTGAGTTCATGTCTGTTGGTGGAGCTGTTACCTAGCAGCGACTGTTACATATAGTTGCTTATTGCCTATCAATGGGTCTACATGCCACATTATTCTTTCATCTGCTTGATGTTATGGCATTCTTTTAATTTTTATAGTATTTTGTTACTGAGAATGAGATTCTAATGAATTTAAGGAAGTACAGTAAACTCTTTTCCAATACGGGTTCACTTATTTATACTTGAAAATAAAATGCAAATAATTATTTGTCGAATGCAGGAAATTTGAAATGAACAGTTCGTCCCCAGCCATGATCCTGAAACACTGTAATCCAATTATCCTTATGTCAAGGTAATATTTCCACTCCATGACATCACATCATTGCTGCAACCTGTGCCCCAAGGACTTATCAAGATGTTAACTTTTATAACATTCAAAGTGTCTCTAGGTTGCAGCATAAGTAATAGATTCTGGTCCTACTTATAAGTTAAAGCATATATGTGTTAATGGGAGACCTCTTTGCAACCACATTTAAGTGTATGTATCCCCATTTAATCCATAAGGTATAAACTTTCTCTGATGCAGATTTATATGATGCCCTTTTCTCAAAGAGTCTTAAACAAACCCCCCCCCCCCCTCCCCCATTAGTTAAGGTTAATTGCGTTAAGCAGAGCACTTTCCATGAAAAGCAATCAGTGCTTCAGTTTTGTACATGTAAAGAGAAGTTGCTCCAGCGCCTAAGCCACAATTCAGTAGAGAGGTAAATCACTCAGCACTTTTACACTCGATGGAGGTCAGTAGTCATCTTTATTCTGTAGCTGTCTTATTTGTGGGAAACAGAGCCCTTAAAACCCATTGTATTGAAAGCTTTGTGGACCCTAGGCCTCACTAAATGTGAGTTAGACCAGAACTGTTATCTTGCAGGATCTTGGTGTGAAACAACATGACACTGGAACTGAGATAGGGGTTGGTATCAGCATGGGCTCAGGATACCTGAGGCGACCTACCGGATCATCTGGTGGACCAAGTCCTGGTTCTGGGCCAGGTTCCAACACCCTCATTACAACTCCTCGTTCACGCTCCATTTCTAGTGATATGGAAATCAGACAAGGCCTGCTGGCTAGCAGTGCAAGTCCACAAGGCTCGAGTGACAACCTTGACAAGCTTTCTTCCTGCAGTCCAACCCACCACAGTACTTATGGACTGCAGAGGTAATTTCTGTTCTTTTTGTCCTAAGATGTCTTTAAATATCAACTATTTCCTAGTTTATTCAGTTATTTTATTATGCTAGAGTATACTCTTGATTATCCATGGGCCTGAGTATATTACTTTATTGTCTTGTGTTGATTATATTCTGTTAAAACCCTCACATATTTCAGTCATGCCAGACCAACTCCAAGGGGTGTAACACATTAAAGGGAACATGTACATTTCATCTATATAAAAGCAAAGGATTAAATATCCAACTCATGGATTTCTTGCAAGAAGTTTAAACTAATATTGTATTAAAATGCATAGATACATGAATTGTTTTATCTGTTTATTAATTCAAAATATTATCTATATTTATAATTTTTTAAATCGTTACCTTGTAATATTTATATTTGCTTGTTAATCTTATATTTAATTTTGACAAAATCTTTTTATGACTGCATGTTCTTTGACTTCCTCTATATCCAATGGTTGTACCAGCCTGGATTAACAGAAATGAAATAAATAAATGAATGAATGAATGAATGAATACAAGCCATACTTATTGTAATTTAGTTGATTATGGGTTTTTTGTGCTATGTTGCAAGTAGCTGTCTCACACTCACTGTTTAGGCATCAAAAAGTTGATGCTTTGCAGTTTCATTGTGGAGATGCTGAATGAGTCTGAGACAACAACATGCAGTATGGCACAACACACCATAATCAAGTGAATTGCAAGGTCTCTGGCTTATATCTATGAATTCTAGCACAATTTTAGTTTTAACATTTTACAAGAAATTTATGAGTCATATATTTATGTGTAATCCTTTATTTATATACATACAAATTTTAAAATTTTTCTTTAATAAGGTACGCGCCTGAAAGATGGTCTTGTATGACCGAAACATGTAAGGATTTTAATGGCATCTAATTGACAGGAGGAATAAATTAGATGTACTTATAGATGTATTTGCGTCTTACCATAATATAGACATTATATGGAAATATTAACCCTGTAGAATCAGCCGATTATTCAGTTTGGACATTAACCAATGAACCTTTAGAGCCCATCAGATGCTGGTACTGACAGTAACATCCTGTCATAATTGCATTTGCTTCAGTAATGCAGCAAATATGCTGTACAACGATTTGCAGTTGGCTGTACATCTCCGCAACTTGTTGTATTGTTTATTGGTTTGCATGCAGCTCTACCACTGAACAAGGGTTATTCTCTCCTATTGGAAAGACATTTGTCTCACTATTTAATGACCAATAGCAAGATCAGTAAGTAGTAGTTAGGTGAAGAGTATGGTCTCGAAGGTTGAATTTTTGAGAGAGCGTGATATTTTGGAAGTCAATATTGCCTCCCTCTTCAGGGTTGCAGAATAAATCAAGCAAGAAGCTACCAGAAGCTTAGCTTATCATGCTGCCTGCTTGACACCATGCTGCAATACAGCAATGTGTTCCTCTGGAGAATTGGGCTGTCTCAGTCTTACAACCCAGAAAATTTCATAGTTTCTGCTGTGAGGACCTCAAATCAAGCAAGAAGTAAATGATTTTCAAAGTTAAATACAGCAAATTTGGACTATCCATTTTTGCCAGTTGTTTGTATAATCTAGTGTTTACTGTGTATGAATTCATGATGGCTTGTAGCATTAAGTAGGAAGTCATTGGATGATTATGAATAAACTGTGACATTGAAGTAGTCATTGGTATCATAACTTCTTTAAGAAAAGATAAGTAAAATATCAGTCAAGAAGGCAGGTTCTTGGCCTGCAGTCATGCTGGGTACCTCTTGAATATGAATCCCATGCTCTACTGCTGCACCAACTCACTTGGGAATAGTAGGCAAGCAGACATCTGCTGCTGTATTTATTATCCTTGTTTTACAAACCAAGACAACTGGCTGATACTGCTTTATTAAAATGTAACAGAACAGCAGCTGGCTCATAAGTCTGTGTAGGCTGCCAGACTCGGTTAATTATCTAATTACTGCACTGCTCTTCCCTCCCTTTGCCCATTACTGCAAGGCATGACTTCAGTATAGTAGCCATGTGAAACAAATGCATCAGTCTTCTGGGAGGCGGTGCTGAACAGAACTGGCTGTGGGAAGCATGTACAGGAGAAGGTCATCTGTGAACAGTGACTGACTGTTTTCTGTACTGTGAATGTCAGAATTCATTGTGTTATGATATTAGAAAAACTGAGCTAACAAGTAACTGATAGAATATTTACAAAAGAAGGAGAGATGGATGAATTCAATGAAGAACAGATGTAAAGAAGGGAAATGAAAATATAAAGAAGAAAGCAAAGGAAGGAAGAAAACCATTTTTACATTTCCACAAAGGGGTAGAATAATTTGATTAACTGTCTGTTAACAGAATCTGAAAAATGCAGCACATCTAATACAAAGTCTGCCATTGGACATGAACCTGGACCATTTTACTTCTTAGATCCTTTTTAATATTATCTCCCATTTCCTGACCTTCTCAACTACACTCATGGTTACACAAATCCTCAGTTAACAATATACCGTAAAGTTATCGAAACATGAAAAAGGAGAGAAATATTAATTATGCTGACTTCACGGACAGATATTCTGCTCCATATTACTGTTGGTTGCATGAAAGTACAGTGCCAAGTTATACAGGAAAGCCCGAGTTCACACAGACCGTAATGCCATTGTAAACATCACATAGGAAATTTGTTGACTGAGAAGATTTTCAAATTGCTTTCAAAGCATATCATAAACTGTTTAAAATTTTGAAGGTAAAATAAGATTTTTACTATAAAAGTATATTTACTGTTTCTACAGGGAGAAAGGAAAGATGATTGGTGGACCTGAGCAGGTGTGGCAGATGCGGCATTTTCGAGCTGGTTCCATTACACATGAGACTCAGCTTGATTTTGTGGACTTTGTTGCATTATTTCGGTCATTCAGGTGAGAAAGAAAGTATAAACTTGAAACAGCTGTTATGCAAAGAATTTTGTGATGCCATATTTATGGACAGCTACAAAAAAGTTGCATGACTGCATTACGTTACATCCCATTTCAAGTGATATGGCTTTTGGAAAATATTGAGGGGGGCCAAAGTAAAACTGAACAGAGGGGTCAAAATTAAGTAAATTGTATGTGTAGTCTTACAGATGTCCCAGATGGCTGGATTGCAAATAATCTATTTCCTCTTTTTGATCAATAATCAAAGTACTGTTGCAACAATTACCTGGAGTGGCTGAGGAAAACTGTAAAATCCACAGTCAGGATAGCTGAAATTTGAACCGAGCAGCTACTGAATATGAGTGTAGAGCATTACTTATAACCTAACCTGTTCAGTGATTGAGTGTCTTCCCTAATCCTAACTTCAGTTATGTCCCTAGAAAGCCTGTTGATGACTTATTATGCCTATGCCCATTCTATCATGTCATATGGTATAATATTCTGGGGTAATTCAACTAATAGTGACCAAATTTTCATAATTCAAAAAAGAATAGTTAGAATAATAATGAGAGCGGGTAACAGGGACTCTTGTCGACCAATTTTCAAAGCATTAAACATTCTTCCATTCTATTCACAATATATTTTCTCAATATCTGTTTTTGTGGTTAAGAATATGGACAAGTTTGTAACAAATTCAGATATTCATGGCATGCACACTAGACGGGGTTTAGATTTACATTATCCAACCTGTAAACTGACTAAAGTGCAAAAGGGAGTGTTTTATAGTGGGATTAGGATATTTAACAACTTGCCATGTAGAATTAAAAGCTTGTCAGAGGACATTAAGAAATTCAAATATTCCCTAAAAAAATTTTTGCAGGTGGGCTCTTTTTATTCCTTACATGAGTATTATGAATGGAAATCAAGGAATGATTGTGCTTCCTATAGATAAAGATTGCGCCTATTATTTGTCACATCTAGAATATAATATTATCTGTCTGTTTTTGTTTATAATTGTTGTGAATGGCACCTGATTTTTGACGTTGTTTGTTTCGGTGTCGTGTCTGTGATTTGGTTTGATGTGTTACTTGTTTGTGTTCTACAACTGTTAATGTACTACAATTATATGTGGCCTTTTTAAATGTCTTGGATATTTAATTTTTAACAATTTATCATTTTAAATGTACTTTTTATTGACATGTTCTATATCTCAAGGCAGCACTGCCAATTGTAGATCTCTGGAACGAAATAAATATGTATGTATGTATGTTCCCATCAAGAGATGAATGTTGCAATTTGGGAATATTTTACTTTTGTTCATGAGACTTTTTGATGGGGAAAAATTTCCTGCTCTGACATCATTAACATTCTAGTTTCATTTAAACTCTCATTCTCAATTGTCAGCTTCCATATGTTGTTTCTCCCTTTATTTCCATTAAAATATTATGAACATGATTTCATATAGTACCCAGCTAATTGATTAAATATAGTTTATAGTTTTCCATAAAATTTGTCCTTTGTGGTATACTATTTGCTTCATTTTGGTATGTGAATTCAGATAAATAATATCGTCCTTCCTATTGCTGAAAAAGTGTGTGCTCTTAATTGATGACATGTTGTTCTTATGAACAGAAGGTCTGGTTCTAAGCAATGATTAGCATTCCCATTTCCATAGAAAATGAATGTTGGCTCACTTTTGCCCATGTCTGGACTTTATAATTATGCTTTGCTAATTCTTTTGCTAATGTTTTCAACAAACCTGATCCATAGAGATTCCTAGCATTCCAAGCTCCAAATATCATATCCATTTTCCATTGCTTATGTCATCCCAGAGAATCTATATACGTGTAAATTAAAAGTCCCTCTGTATCATTTGGTAACATGTTATTTTTTTGAGATCTGTAGTTGTTATCACCTGACCCAACCCCCAAGCTGGAACATCATCTATTGTTGGTTGTTTGTGATTGCTTATTAAATATATTTTTTGCTGCTCTCAGTGTCTGGAGGTAGCATCCTGAGAATGTTTGATACCATGTGGGAAGGGGCCTACATAACATGGTTGTTGAATCTATGCAGTTAGCAAAGCATCACTAGACAGTTATATGGGTATTTCTGATTGGCAGAAAGTTAAACAAGGTGTGCCACAGGGTTCAATAATTGGCCCCTTGTTCTTTATTTCATATATATTAATGACTTCCTTACTTAATAAATAAAAAGCAATTTTGTATGCTGATGATACAGCGTACTGTGTTCCAATTCTGATTCTGTGGAGCATGTAATGGTATTGAAAATGATACTGGACAAAATGGGCACATGGTTTATGAATAATTCGCTATCATTCAATTTTAACAAAACTAACTATGTGCAATTTTCATCAAAAATAAATACTAGATCAAACATAAATGTAAACTATAAAGATGTTCAAATTAAAAATACTTGTAATACAGAATTCCTAGGACTAATCATAGATAATACCTTATCATGGAAAGATCAAATAAATCATTTGGTAACTAAGCTGAATGCGGCTAGTTATTCTATTAGAACCCTATCTGCAGTTATGACTCAGGAGAAGGATGATTTATTTTGCATATGTATATTCCATTATATCATATGGAATAATATTTTGGGGCAATTCGACTCACAGTAATTTAATTTTTAAAATCCAAAAACGAATAGTGAGAATTATTATGAATGAATGAATAAGGACTGTTGCTGCCCATTGTTCAGGCAGTTAAATATTCTGCCCTTATATTCTCAATATATATTTTCTGTATCAATTTTTGTTGTTAAGAATTTAGATATATTTAAATTTAATTCTGCTATACACAGCATTAACACCAGACAAGGTTTGACTTGCATTTTCCAATTAATAAATTAGCTAAAGTGCAGAAGGGTGTATATTATTTGGGGATTAGTGTATTCAATAATCTACCACAAGGCATCAGGAATCTATTAAATGATATTACTAAATTCAAACAGGCTCTAAAAAACTTTCTTCTTGCTGGTTCATTTTATTCTTTAAATGAATATTATGAATGGAACACAAGGGGTGATCTTGGTTCTTATAAATAGTATCTAAAATTAACCTTGACAAGTCCTATTAACTAACTAAAACTATACAAATAATCGTCTACTTTATATCTGCATACATAACTACTATGACTTTTATTTAGTTTAACATATAATCTCTTGTTGTTTTATGAATTTATTTGTTCCATTTATTGTTGATGCATGTTAGATGTTTCTATAGTTTTTCTTTTGATGCGTGAGTGATGTAACATACATTATTTGATATTGTATTGTTTATTGATAGTATCCATTCATATGCATTGTTTTTATAAACTGGATGAATTTTATAAGATAAATGGTTAATATGTTTCCATCTAGTATTTAAGTCTTGTTGTAGTCACATTTTATTATGATTAGTGACTCTGTTGTCTATGTTTTATATTATCTTATTTTGCCTTGTTCCAGTGATTGTTTGGAACATTTGTTTTTATTTTTGACACAGTCTATATCCAGTGGTGTGTGAACTTGTTTCTCACCCTGTAATTGGATATACTTTAATATAAGAATAAATTAAATTAAATTAAAAACAAACAAACTAAGGCTCCCAGATTTGTCCATATGTCTGCCCTATGATTGATTTTTAGATTGCATAACAACACTTTCAAGTGCACAGGTAAGAGTGTTCCATCAGATGGAAACTTTACCTGAGTGGTGAACAGATGAGGAGTTGGAAGGAGGCCGTTGTGATTCATCCCAGCATTGTGATGGAGTGGACTAAGGAAAATCATAAAATATCTGTCAGGCTATCTAATAGCATAGAACCTTGTACCTTACTATTACAGCCCTGAAGTAATAATCTTATATCAACCTGTTTGGTCACTTCATACAAAGTTATTGTGATACGTAAATCCATTGCTAGGCAATGCCCGCAGCACACACACACAGTTCAACATGCAACAATCGAACAACGAGGTTATGCAATCCCCTTTTAGGCAATGGCTCAGTGAACACACTTCCACGCATGTGCAACAATGTCACCGCCCAACAATGCTTAGCTATCACGTGACATGTTTGCTGTAGGTCCACGACAAAGGTTTAAAGGGGACAACAAAGGCCATTTGTGGGCAGTCATATGCTGGAAGAGTGAAGTAGTAGCTAAGAGCAGTTGAGTACAGATTAGGACAGAGGAGGACAGAGCAATTTCAGATGAAATGACAAGAAGACTTCGTAGTGATTTGAAGTGATAATGTCTGTGTTATAAATCCATTGCCAAGAAGTGGATAGCGTATCCTAGTGAGTCATGAAGTTATTAAATCAGTAGTAGCACTGTACTGCCTGTACTTAGTAGTGATTGTAAATGAAAGTGTTAATAAATCCAATCATCAAATCCAGAACGAACCCACAATTATTTGTCATGCATACCCACCTACAAATGACATTAGATATTCAGATATACTACTTACAACCTGATAGCCAGAAACTGAGAATATCTTATTTGTGTTATTTTTAGTTTACGAGCAAGGAAGGACCTGAGAGACTTGTTTGATCAACTTGCAATTACATGTCGCAGCATGTCTGACACGTCACTGAATGATGGAAGTGTTAAAAGCTCACCAGAACATGCAGCAAGACCATCTCAGAGAATTGGTAAGATTAAAACTGTTGTGTTCAGATCATTGACTATTATGTTTTTCAAATATATTTATGTACAAAAGATTTTGCTGTAATCTTAACAATTTTCTCACATAACTGAAGTATTGTTGTAATATACCACAAGTCTGATTTCAGGTTCTCACAGCTATGGTTATGATCAGTACTACTTCTTCTGGGATATAATGCAGTGAAGTCCATTGAAAATCAACTGACGCTTCGGAGGAACATGTCATATGCCTGCTGCCTGCTGGATTCTTGCTTCACTGTTTCTTTGATCCAGAATGTGAAGGCAACATGTTCCTCTGAAACATCGGTTGGCTTTCAACTCACTTCATGGTGTAGTCCTAGAAGGTAGAAATCTTCAAGCCTTGCTTCCATCGTCTGGTTCAGGTCTACCATTGCTTATTATGTTATGGAATTACAGTAAACCATTTTACATTTATTAATTTCTTTTTAAGCCAGCTGTAGCAGCTATGGCACTGATTATCTCCACTGCTCTATAAAATCATCCAACCTCAGCAACATCCCATATTTATGTCACCCATTCTGTTCCGGGATGGGATGATTTGTGAACTCTTGAACTGCCTTTTGTACGATTCAGATGTTTGTTTTCTAGATCAAACAGTTTCTTTTTCTAACAAATGCTGCTCTTTCTCTCCATGCTTTCACATCCTGTGACAAGTCTGTTTGCTATTTTTCTCTTAATAGTATGCATCCTGTTGTATGTCATGAACAAGGTACACAAAATGTGTACAAAAGTATGCAGTCTACACAACAATATTCTGTATTTAAAACAAAGTAGACACTGTCATATCAACATATGTTTTAATTGATGCAACATGTTTCGACCCTTATCCTGGGTCATCATCAGGTATGCAATGATACCAGACTCAGTTGTTGAATTGCATCTAACAATTTGCATCTAATTCTTCAATAAAGAGCCTTATTATGCACTTGAGAGTTCTTGAATGCATAGATTGAGTCTTTCACTTAAAATTTTAAGTACTCAGATAATAACAGTTAAAAAATTATATACTAAAGGTTAAAACATAAAAATTAAAATTGTACTTAAATGGATTACATATTTCGTGATAAATCTCTTTAAAAGTTTTTGACCGTTACGTGTTGACATAATTTTCTGGTGGTAGAAGCGACTATAGTGTGAGGCACATGCATTTCAGGATCTACTCACATGAGTTAGGTCATGCGGTCTCGACCCTACTATCATCTTGTGGAGCTTATGCTCGCTATTCTGTATGTCACCCAACAGGGTGTTTATTTGGAGTGATCTGTAACAGTTTTTTAATTACTGTAAGGAGAAGCTTGTGAGAGTGTTGTTATTAAACTCGTTATTAGGTTAAGAAGTATTAAGGATATGCAGGCGCCCCACCCTATAGTCGATTCTACCACCAGAAAATTACGTCAACATGTAACGGTCGCAAAGTTTTAAAGAGATTTATCACAAAATACATACTCCATTTTAGTACAATTTTAATATTTATGTTTTAATCTTTAGTCTCTAATTTTTAAATTTTATTATCTGAGTATTTAAAAATTTTAACTGAAAGACTCAATTTATGCATTTAAAAACACTCAAGTGCACAGTAAGGATCCTTACTGAAGAATTATATGCAAATTGTTAGATGCAATTCAACAACTGAGTCTGGTATCATTGTACACCTGATGATGACTCAGGATAAGGGTCGAAACATGTTGCATCAATAAAAACATATGTTGATATGACAGTGTCTATTTTGTTTTATTTACAGCATATTGTTGTGTAGACTGCAAACTTCTGTATACATTTTGTGTATCTTGCTATTTCTGTGTCATTTCTTAATTTTGGTAATACATCTGTACAAAAAGGCTTATATTTTGGGGTTTAACCCTTTGGTATATCCTGCAGTATCCCTTGCAGCCTGATTTTCAATTTTATTCTTAATATTTAAAACAGATAATCGTTAAGTTGAAAAAAAAATTGTTTTTCCTGTTTGCTTTAACTATATTGAATAGTTATGTCATTCTGTCATCCTGTTTTAGCATAGTAGTCTATCAAAGTTTCTCTATGGCTCTTGTTCAGAATTTGTTTAGAATGAGTGCAAGAGAACCCAATCCTCAGTCCACCCCAAGGGAAAAAGCAAACCCACAAGTTAGTCAAGTGACCAGCCTTCAATCTTGGCACATTGAGCATTGCACAACTGCAGTATCACACTTGCGGTGTTGTGTATGTTCAGCCAGGAGGAAACCAATGGCTATCAAGTTTATGTGCTCAGAATTCGAAGTGTAGAGGCTCGTGGGTTCGCATGTACGAGACAAAGTAAACTGCTTAATGCAAGTTATGTCAGAATGTGAGGAGGAAAAGATTTTTCAGAAATGTGTTACAAATTTTGATTTCATAGTGTACATACTATTTTCTTTTATTTCAGAAACCTTCGAAGTTTTCAGGAACAGTAATTTTATTTTATATCTTTTATATATATATATGTAGTCTGCTGAAACTCAACCAGTCTTTCTGAGAAACAAATCACCTCCATTTTCTGGGTCAAAGAATAAGTCCAACAGAGCTGATTGCTACTTGCTCTTTCATGCCTGTTTCTTCTTTCATTTATTTTTCAAATTTTAAGATGGAGTCCATGTATTCCTCCAAAACGCTGGTTGTCTTTTGACAGACTACACAGCACTGTGTCCCAGAAGACTGGACTCTTGTAATCACATCTGTGAGACTCTGAAATAAGAGGAGAACTTCATCATTGGCCTAGTGGCTGTTATCTTCTTAAGATGGAATCTGTTCAGTAGAATTAATTATTTACTGTTATAATTAATAAGAATTTATGTCCATGTCTTTGATTTAGGCCTGCTGACAAGGAACAGTTCGTTGGACCTATTTGAGTATAAGAGCTCTGCAAACTTGCAGAAGAAAAAGATCTTTGATGCAATTGCAGCTGCAAGCATTGTTTCCAACTGTGCCGGAGTGGACACATCGAAATCCCAGGTGATCACACTTGCTACCTTTGTCAAGTTCCTGGAAACCAGACAGATGGAGCAACATACAGAAGATGAAGTGAAAGCCTTGATACAGGTTAGTGCCTTTCCAATTTCAGTGTGGTTCTCTTTTATTTTCAGATTACATTGCACATGTAGGAAGTCTTCTAAAATATTGAAGTTCTGATTATTGACAGGTTAATACATATTTCTTGCTCTTTAGCTATATGACCAGTTTATGTAATCACTGATATCAAGGTAAATTCACAAATTTACTTACCTCCTCCAAGACACTAAACTGTATAAGAAAGTATTTAGTTTTTGTTTAATTTTTTATTATTATTATGATGACAGTGGATTCATAAGGGTTAAGAAGTAAGATTTGACGTTTTCTCGGTGGTGACTATGAAGAATGCCATCTTCTGGAATGTGGTGCCGTGTAGATGTGATGTAAAGCAGATTTACACTATATCAACATGGCGCCTTATCTCAGAAGATGGCATTCTTCAGGGGTTAAGGAGCGTAAACATAATCATTATTTTTTCCACAACACTGACTAAAGACAGGGAGTTTATTTCCATGCTGAGCCAGAGCATGGCTTCTCCAGTGTGAGCAGTCACTACATTGCCCTGATGATTCATCAGTGATGATGAAAGGAAGTGGACGCTGTCTTCTGGACTTCATGTGTGACCATGCCTTGCATTGCACTAGACTTCCATTGTACTGGACATCGATAAAGGGTGTTTGCATATAGACCCTATATGAAGTTTAACTCTGCTAGGAAATTCAATAGAAAGTTATTGGATTCAAGTTCCCTACATGAAGAATACTCAGAACCTTTTCAATGAAATAAGAACAATTGATGTGTTATTTGAGAGGAAATCAGAGCATCATCATTGAGTATTGGCAGAAGAATTTTTGGATGACATCGAAAATCACATTTCCAAGGACCATTTTAAATGACCCAACCCAGGCCTGTAGCTTATCATCAGGTGTGTTACCTGTATATGATTGAAGCTTCACATCCTTTGTCCTCAGTCCAAATGAAACCTGATCTATTTATAATTTGCCCTGACTACTGTGTAATTACTACGGTTTCTTAATGCATAAATGCTAATCACCTTTGAATGAATTATATAAAAACTCTCTCTTTCAGAACATCTGTGATTAGTTTATGCACTTGAGGAATGACACAGAGATAAGAGACCAGATTTATAAGGTATTTTCTAGAACTACTTCTGGGAAGGGGGTAGCTACAAAGATCCCTGAGAAAATCAACTTACAAGGAACTTTTCCATAGCCCAAGCAAACCCAATTGCCCAAGCTTATGCAGATAAAATATTTTTTAAATAAAATCTTAACTCGTCACATTTAATGTAGTTCAAAGTTGAACTTCCTTTCAGTTGCCATCTGCTACATTCTGTTGTGGAGAAAGGAAATGGAGTCAGTACTGCCACTCCTAAATCTGGTTCATCACACCTGCTTGCTGCCCAGATGTTGCCTAGTTGGCACCATCTTTCTGTGTTATTCCTCATGTGTAACCAATACTGCTGTTGTCAGGCATTGCCCAGGGTTTGTTGACATCCAGACATCCAGAAGATTCTCCATGGGGTCCTCCGCATACTTCTTCCATCTTGCTGGGGGTGGGACTCTTTTGGCTGCCTTCAACCTCCCTTCAACTGACTCCAGGTGATCATCCAGCACGCCGTCTCTTATCGCCAGGGACTTTCACTGATCGCAGTAACCCTTGTATATGATATTGTGGTCAGCAAAATTCTTCCACATGGGACACTCATCGGACTCCACTTCCAATAGATTCGACCCCATGTCACTGTCATCCAGCTAATCCCTCCTCAGGGCGGCCCAGTCCCAGCCATTCTCAGCAGTAGTAGCTCTACCGTACCTCTGGCCTTTTGGGAGTGAGCGCACCCCTTGGAGAAGGGTCTTTTAAATAACATATCCATGTTGTGTGCTTCCACTCCTGGCGTTTTTCAAATATATAATTATACTCCTGGGCCAGCCATCTGTTCTTCCATGAATTTCAAAATAAGGAGCCAAGTCAGGGCCAAGCATTCGGTATGCAGATGGAATTGTCCCTAGAACTATTTTAGGAAGTGTCCAGCATCTTCAGAACGACCAGTAACTCTCGTCTCGTAAAACAGTATTTCCTCTCAGCCATGGGCAGGGTCCTGTTGTATTGAGTTACTGCATCTCTGGGCTCTCCTGTCCTGCGATAGCATGCGTCCAGTCCCCATGTTCCTCCTGCCAATGTTGATGATGAAGTTTCCACCCGGCCACTGGTAGCCTAGGACGGGTGCCATATTTAACTTCTTTAGGGACTGGAAGGCGGTTTCAGCTTCTGAAGACCACTGGAGCATCTGCCTTCATTTCATGAAGTGGGTCAGTGGATTTCTGATATCTGCACATTCAGCTATTAATGCTCCAGGAATGTCCAGCATACAGTCATCATATTATACAAGTTCAACAGGCAGGTTTCGCAAGTAGGTTCCCGCAGGACTGATTCAGTCATGCTTGATTGCCGCTGGAAGTTGGAGTGGCCAAAGGACATAATTATAAACTGCCACAGCCCCTGTCCAATAGAGAATGCTGTCTACGTTTTGTCACCGGGATGCAGGGATTATGCCATTAGATGTTCTAATGTCCACTCTGCTTCTGTGAGTGTATTCAGGGTGTTGTAACTTCTTGGTAGCGGCAAGTTATCTTTCTTTGTAACGTCGTTCAGCTATCGGTAGTCTATACAGACCAATGGTGTCCATTCTTCATCTAGATGAGCATGATGGATGAAGATGAAGGACTCTCAGGCCATCGATTACCCATTGTCCTTTCATGGCGTTCAGTATCTCATTCACCTCAGTCTACTTGGCAAATGGGCGCCGGATTTTGTTCTTTGATTTTATGATAAGTTACTTCATCGAACACAGTGAAATCAACACATTTCTATATCTCAGTGAAATGCTGTTATTTATCATTCGCACTTCCCTCGCACAGATTTGCTGGCATTGGTAACTGGAGTCTGCACTAATTTATCGCCTTATTTTAATTCGTCTTTTAAATCAAGCACCTCCTGCATTGTTTCTTCTTGCTCTGGAGTTGAAAACTGACTCAACTGACAGAAATTTGACTGAAAGAATGAATCGGTCATATGGAACTTATGTACATTGAATTTTTCTTTCAGAATCATGCGAGCGTGGTTATTTAATTCATCCAGCGCATGACAGTCAGGCACCAAATATATCAGGTGACTTGAGAAGTTAAATATTATTGATGGAAAATATGCGGAAATGTTGCATATGAATCTGTCTGAAATTAAATTTCTTGCAATGGTGTTTGCATTTGCAGCGCCTTACTACAAGATATGAGCCATTTTCTTTTCTTAATCAATTTTAATTAGAATTTTTTAATGTTTCCATAGTTGGCATCAAAAGAATTTAATTTGTTGTTTATGAAGTCTTTATTGAAACATTCCTTTAAGTTGATTGTTCTTGAGGTTATGGTAAAATCAGTATCTGCACATATATTTATTGTTTTGCATTACCATAATTTATTTTGAGGAATTGGGCTAAATTTAATAGCAACCTGTTTAATTAAAATATTTTATGCTGTGCCAACATGACGTGACTCACATACTTGATGAATGTTGATTTTCAAGCATCGTTTCCGAAATATCATAACCTCTTTATCTTCAAGTTTTAGTAAGCTATTATGCAGTGATTTTTTCAGGAATCCCTTTTTTAAGGTGTATTTAACTTCAGTTTAGTCTCATGCACTGCAGAAGGATATATACATAGGGTTATTCCCATGATCAAGGGGGGAGGAAAAAACAACTTGGACACAGAATCTGGTTTTAGGTCTTTACAAGCCTGTGGCTGATTTCCATTCTGATATTACTGGCAGTTTTATGATTGCCAGGATATTTGCAGGTTGGAAAAATAAAAAATAACCAATCCACATGTCCATACTGTATTCTCATAGGTCGAATGATGCCCGCATACTGGGGGTGAGTGATTTGAACAATTTTTCAACTTCTTTTGCATACTGGTGAACGCTGTGACAAGATGAATCCTATGCAGTGAAGTAATTTCTATGAAGGACTGGGAGTTGCATATGAAACCAGAACCAGTTACAGGGTCAGATGATCTGACATCTGATGGTGTTTTACTTTCTGGGGTGTGTGTGAAGTTGAGAGTTGCAAATGTTTCTCAGTATTACTTTCACCAGCATTGAATTTACAAGAATAGTGATTTAAATGAGAAAGTCAGCCTTATGATAGAGCATGGCATTATGCACTGAACAGCACCAGTTTTCTCCTTAGTACTTCAAGAAATGATTTCCACAGTACTTACGTTTTACCTTGTATTTTTTTTTGTTACACTGTGGCCGTTGGTTAGTTTCTAATACCGCACTTTGACATATAGTCATTTGCTTTTAATCGCAACTGGGATCTCTTCTTTAGTTCATTTCTGAAGGAGATTGTGCTACAGACACTAAGTGCCCTTAAAAACCATCAACTTCAGGAAGGTTTGAACCTTGGGTACAATGGTGAGCACATTACCACTAGACCACTGAGGCCGACCTTGTCAAAATATATTCATCACTTCTCAGTCTCACTTTGATTTTGTGGACACATCTTTCTGTTACGTTTTTGACTATGTCATGATCAAGCGCAACCATGGACAGTTTTCTTTTGTGAAGAAACAGTGGTCCAACAAACAGGACAACAAATGTCCAGTATAACATTTAATTACTACCATTCGAGCCAGGTCCAAACCAAAACATTATCTGACCCACGCCTGGTCCACGCGCTCGGTTGGACTGAAGTCTGTTTTATGAGTCTGTTAAGCATATTGCACAGGAATGGAAGTGTGAAAGGCCTGAGAGACCTGCTGCAAATTTTCTGAGCTATGGCCTGTACAGAAGGTGTGGAGAACATACCAAAGCCAATGGGGAACGTTTTTAGCATCTCCTGCTCCTCAGACATGTAAACGCTGCTTTATGACTGCAACTAACCCAGCAGGAATACACCAATCAGAGCACTGCTTGCACGTAACAGGCTTGAACCCGTCCCACAGATAGTCTCTGATCTGCATTCTTAAGTAGACAGGAGGACTGTAATGGCTGTCATTGTGATTATTTGTTTCATAGCGGCATGAACCTGATCCCCTGCTTCGAGCCCAGAGCTGTTTATCATTTGAAGGCTTTGCTCGTTTCCTGATGGACAAGGATAACTATGCATTTGTTAGTGAACGACTGGGGCCTGACGAAAGTGAGATGGACCAGCCACTGTCTCACTACTACATAGCTTCATCTCACAACACCTACCTCACAGGGCACCAACTCAAAGGCGAGTCTTCTGTGGAATTGTACAGTCAGGTATGTGCAGGTACATCCAAATTGTTTGCAAGGGAGAAGAAATGTTTCCTTTGGATAATTTGGACATTTGGACAGTCCTGGTTGTTAAAAATAGTGTATTAAGTACTAACATGTGAGTGTACCTTCAAAGTCATAGTGATATATGAAATACTTATTCATGCTGAAAATTCTCATGACCAAAGTCCAATACAGACAAAGAAACAAATACAAATTTTTACTTTCTGTGTACATTTATGAGCAATTCTGTAATGTAGTCCACCACAAATGTAATCTGCATTTCATGCTAATTATTTTAGGAACTCCACCACAATTGGGTTTTCTGCAATGAGTTCTCTTCTCAGTAAGGACTGAACAGTTACATTTCTTCTAACATCTTTAACTGGAAGTGCAGAAAAATTGTACATCTCTTCATGAGTTCAGTTTCAGTTTCAAGTGATGAAAATGAATTTAGTCTTTCTCGCTTTTTCAAGCCTCTTTTGTTTTTCGTGCCATGAACATGCTGCAGCATCTGCACTGAACTGAAGCAGACCTTTTATATATTACATACTGAGCACTCCTATCTATAGAGGCATATTGAGAAATTGTAGATGATAGAATGATGCCATTTTTTTGGCTGTGGCTTTTGTCCTGTACAATGAAATTATGAAGCCCATTGTATTTATGCAGCCCATAAATTTACTTTGTCACTGTACTTCAGTAATTTTCTTTTTGCTGTTTCACCATGAATATTGGAAATACTTTCATGAAAGTACTGAGTAAGAGCACTGTTTTTTTTTGNCTTTTTGCTGTTTCACCATGAATATTGGAAATACTTTCATGAAAGTTTTTTTTTCTGATACAATTTCAATGCAATTGCAATGATATGATTAGCAGTAATGTTCTTGGAGGGTCCGTCTTCCTCGATTTTTTACTCAGTATCAGATATGGAACTGCATCCTGGCAGTCTGTTATGTTCTAATGCCCAGTATCTGAATTTCCATTTTCCCCAGTACCATTGGCATAGGCACACAGCTGGACCGATTTCCATATACATTTCATGTACAGTATAAATATCTCCAGAGAGAAATTTAGTGAGTCAAAAGACACATTTTTGCTTACACCAGCAATGGGCAATTCATACTCGCATGTTTTATAGTACATAATTCAAAGTTCATAACAATCAGGAAACAAAGAAAATTTGCAACCCCACTTTTTTGGCTTTCTCTGCTGTGTGTTTTCCAGAATACATTTCAAATTTTTAAGCAACCTTAGTTATGTTCTTTGCATGTGAAGCTTCTCACACCCTTGTCTAACAGTAGAATTGTCACAAAACATAACTCCTTACAGTTGCCACCTGTTATGACTCCTGACTTCTGCAGCTTGTGAAACTCATATTTCTGTCGTGGTAATATTTAACTGGTTTGTCCAGGTCACTTAGACCAGGTCATTCTATACTGCCTCTGTCGTCTGTCATACAAACTTCATTTTGTTAAAAATATAATCAATTACATGATATGTTTCGAGCATATGACTATAATGGACCGGCTCTGTGGTCTAGTGGTTAAGAGTTCCAGGCTACAGATCCAGAGGTCCCGGTTTCGATTCCTGGTGCTGCCAGATTTTCTGAGAAATAGTGGGCCTGGAACGGGGTCCACTCAGCCTTGTGACGATAATTGAGGAGCCAGTTGAAGGAAATAGCAGCTCCGGGCTAGAAAACCGAGATTAACGGCCCTGGGGATCTGCACTGACCACGCGATATCTTCTATCTGCTAAGTTAGCATTAACTTCGCTGACATGCGGCGGTCACTCAGTCGGTATAGTTCACTTCCTGACCGCAGGCTATGGATTTTTTTATATGACTATCATGAGGTGGACGTCACACCTATCATTGTATGAAGAACTGTCAACAGCTGTTAGTTCAATTACTTGGCGAAGTTCATTTACAAACGAAAGTCTTAAAAGGTGTGCTTCTGACAGTATATAAAAATATAAATTCATTTGTAAATACAAGATGGATGGGCCTTTAAACAGAGATTTAAATAATGACCTCTGCAAGTTAGGGTTGCTTGTAGCTATTTATAAATTTCATGTAATATTTTGTGTGTTATCCACTGATGATGGTGACACTCATATGACTGAAACATGCCATGAAATTGATTATATTATAAATGAAGTTTATGTGATGGTATAAATTGATAATTTCATCAATTTTACACAAACTGCATGCAATATTATGAAAATATTTTTTTATTCCATACTGTATTTCTGAAATGCTGTCAGATTTATTGTACCTGAAGTGGTTAGGCTTGTACTCATTTTGACTTGGTTGTACTTCTTCACTTCCATGATTATGTACAATAAAATGTTCACTTCCTTTTTTGGATTTATCACTCTCCGTGGCTTCTTTATTTGATTTGTCTTTACAATTTCTTTGTCATGTCATGTACAGTAAGAAAGGACAAATACATAATTAAATTTTCTGTTTGTATAAAAATAAATCTAAAGAACCAAAATATAAAATTTTAAAATACTTGCATTGCCAAGTGGGTGACATATTTCATACACCAGAAACCACCTCTGTTCTCATCATGGTTCAGCTACACTTACAGCAGTGATATCTGCTTCAAATGACAGTCAGAAAGTGACTGAACAAATGCCTAAAGAGCATTATTGTGATAACATTGTCACATTATAATTGGTACAAGTGGCATACTCTATATACCAGCATGTCTGCTGTATGGACAAATATGTGAATAAACTTTTATTTCTTAATATTGGTATTATTCCTTATTTAAACTTTTAGCTATTATTTATTATTACAATAACAAAAAAGGCAATCATATCCTGGATTGAGAATGGGTACTTCTACTGTTTTGTATATCTTAATTTTTTGTATTGATGGTTAAAGTGAGCTTAATAATGAGAGTGTTACACCTCACATAGGTTCATGTTTGGGCAGGCCCATTTGGAACCATAGTACCAAGGTATTGGGTCTCACATCACTCCTAGAATTAAATGAAAAATATGTATGTACCTATTTTGAGTCCAAAATTGAAACATTGTTTCTTTGAATGAATTAACAAACCAAAGTTGGTTGTAGTGAAATAAAAGGCTGTGAATCATATGAACTAATCAAGGATATTACGTTGTGTCATGGCAGTCACCTTAGAGCTAAACTACCAGAAAAGTGCCCACAAAAAATAGAGTCGTTAGGTGAATGGCCTTTTTCTATGCTAAGGAGTCGGGCTCAGAAGCCGCAGAGATTTTAAGATTTTAAGTCATATATTAAAGATTTCTGTTATAATGTTTTCAGCTTGTTGTACTGAAGAGGAATGTCTTACATGTAGTAAGTAACCATCAGTAAGCAAAAAATGTCTTGTGTCATACAAATAAGCACATGGATTACACACACCGTTTGTTATCAGGTTCTTCTTACTGGCTGCCGCTGTGTGGAGCTGGACTGTTGGGATGGAGATGATGGATCTCCTCTCATCTATCATGGCCACACCTTCACAACCAAGATTCCATTTCTATCTGTAGTAGAAGCTATCAACCGCAGTGCGTTTGTAACATCTCCTTATCCAGTGATCCTGTCCATTGAGAATCACTGTTCTCTGCAGCAGCAGGCTAGAATGGCTCATATTTTCCAGGTAGATATTGGTAGAGTTGTTAGAAGGGTTTTTTTATTCTTAGTGTTGAAAGTTGCTAGTTACTGTTTGCAGCAGAGATGACAGTATCCTACAGGTGCAGTTAAGAAAAGGATTATTACTCTCCTTTGAATAAATTGAAGATCAAGAACTTCAACAAATATGTGTTATTAAAATTAAGCATTTGTTAAACGAAGCCCTACCATGGACCCTCTGCTAAATGTGCCAAGGCTGCTTGGGTATAAGTGCACTTGTTCAGAAGAATCCACAATTTCTTCTCAAGTGATAATCAAATGACAGCAGATGTATGTAGACCATATGAAAGAAGTGTTTTTTCTCTAAACATCATCCACACTTGATGCCATCTGTTGACAGATATTCTGTACTAATTCATAAACAGTAAGATAGTCCTTTTGGCTGAGGCATTTTTAGTGCAAAATACTGCATGCCAACCTAATCAGTGTACGTTTTCAAAAGCATGAAGAGCTTAAAGTACTAAAGAGTTCTATCTTCCTGGATATAACATTGTCTAGCCTATTGAGAGTCACCTGACATTTAGGAGGAACATGTTGCCTCCATCTTCAGGGTTAAGAAACTAGCATGAAGCAGTTAGCAAGCACAGCAAGACCCTGAAAATAGAGATGACTTGTTCTTCCAAATCATTGATTGACTTTCAATGGATTAAGTGGCATTATATCCCAGAAGATGTAATTCTCCATAATCATCTTTGTGAGAACCTAAATTGGATCCCTGTGTTGCGACTTCATTGAAGCACTTGCCCAAACTGATATAGAATTTAGGAAGCTTGTAAGCAGCATGTGACCCCTAGTTCCTAAAGTAATAGGTATATTATAACACTATAACTATGTTGTCAAGATATAGAAAACTATAGTTTAATCCATGAAAATGAATACAGGAGTCATGCCTGTTATAGGCTATATATTTCCAGAGAAAGATATTCCTAACTAGAAAAATACAAATATGACTCAAAGTGGAATTATTGGAACAAACGTTTAAAGTTTATAGGTTTGTTGTAATAAATGCAGATTTAACTTATACTTGAAGAAAGTTGTCTTCTGGGTTTTGGCGCTGCGTATTCTTCGTTTTGGCTGATGTTTCGGAGGAATGTATCACCTGCTCTGAAGATCTACTGCTCTCTGCATTCACAAGCCAATCATCTGCTCTGAAGATGGAGGCGATACGTTCCTCCGAAACATCAGCCAAAACGAAGAATACGCGGCGCCAAAACCCAGAAGACGACTTTCTTCATAGTCATCGCTGTGAAAACCTCAAAACTTACATTAACTTGCACTTGTTTTAGCAATATGCCATTCTGCCCCAAACAGTCTATGAGAACTACCTCATCAAGGAAATGTCTGGAGAGAGTCTGAAAACCGAAATTAACGGCTGTGCAGATTCGTTGCGCTGACCGCGCGACACCCTCTATCCACAGAAGTTGGCACTAAACTTTGCCTACAAGCGGTGGTCGCTCAGTCAGTATAGTTCGTTTGCGGACTAAAATCACAGAGTTTGTTTTGTTTTGTTTAATGCTTTTAGGAACTTAATTTCACAAAAATAGTACCTATGCAACTTACAGAAAACTGGATCCATGTTTTTTTTAATAAGACAGTGAAATGCAATGAAACTCAATAATTTGCTTCTAATTCAGTACCACCTGAAGATGACCAGAACTGGTCAAAGCATGAAGGTGAGATTAATTTTAATAATAAAAATATCTGACACAAATAAAATGTGGGGAAAGTGGAACACAGGTTTACTGATAACACGGAAGGTGCTGTATATGACTGTATACTGGAGACTGGAGACTGACCACAGGTTCAGTGTTGCAGTAGGTCATAGCAAGATTGTTACTTTGCCGCTTATGTAATGATTTTTGACAGATTTCACTGTGTAACCACTTCATATTGAATGCGTTTTGAAAGATGGGTGTATGTATATCCTTCCCTTGCTCTTTGTGGTGTGTGGAGATGTGGCTGGTTACATTAGAGATGTTCCTCCCATTGTGTTAATTGTAAGTGTACTGTTTTTGTATTCATTCTGTCTTTGGTATTAATCTGAAATCAATGCCAATATTATCATTCTTATGAAATAATGTGTAGATTTTGTGATGTGAATTTATTCGCTGTGTATTTTCTACTTACATATAAATTTTCATGTACCGTGTAATACATAGGTTTTATAAAATTGCAGTGGTGTTCTGTGCAAATTATCTGTAGTACAGATCTGGTGGTATAGTTGTTACAGTTTGTAATGTGTTCACTTATTTAGATTTTTAACTGTATGTATATGTGTTACTGAAGTGTAACTACTACATGTAAGAGAGTTTCCTGGTGTTTATTGTTTTTGACATCTGTTGAGTATATTTGAGCCACATAATTACCTATGTTAAAATTACAAGGTAAAACAAAATATTTCCAATTTAAAACATAACACTTCCTATATTTGATATGGGTTTGTTCTAGATCCACATAAAACTAAACTAAAGGTATCCCTCTAGCAAGCCATGGAGGCCCATAAGTTTGTGAGATGTTGAGGTTCCCACATTTACTAGACAGTTGGCTCATAGATGGCGGTAAGTTTGTCAGCCTTATGCACTGACCGCCCTTTACCCCAAGAATATTCCTGGTACTCGTTTCTGTTAAGAGGCTGAGTCGACCCCAGGGCCATAGTGCGGCTGGAAGGATTAGGTATATTGAAAAAATCCACCTCATCGGGATTCGATCCCATGACCTTCCGGCTTGTAGCATAGTGCCTCAACAAACTATGCTACTGTGTGTCCCCTCTAGATCTGTGTATGATGTTAAATTAGTGATTAATTATTGATATATTATTTTTGTATTCTTACTGTGTTGTGGGTGCTGTTTACCACTTAGAATCTACAATAATAATAACATTTTTATAGTATGCGAATATTTATATGAAGATCAAACAATTTTGAACTATTTCCTTTTTTATGTTTGGGAATAATAAATGGAACAGGAGTATACAATAGAACGTTTGTCTTTATTTTTGTCATTCCATCGTTCTTATTAACAAATATTGACTTTTTATTTCTTTCTTTTATTTAACCACACAGAAACATCATGGATTTGTTTACATACTGTTTATCTTTGCAGCTGTTTGTAGAATCCACAGCATCAAAACAATTTTTTCACGTACTGTCTTACATGTTAATTTTGGTTTATACAATGTACATGGACTGGAAGCTGTAACTGAGGAATGCTTTGTTATGTTTTCTTGTAGTCTGTATTTGGTGAAAAGCTTGTGACAAAATTCCTGTTTGAGGCTGACTTCAATGATGAGGTTCAGCTGCCCTCTCCATTTCAACTTCGGTATCGCATTCTCATCAAGAACAAAAAGTTGACAGCTGAAATACCAGCTGGGCCTGCCACGGCAGCTGCAGCTGCTGCAGCTGCCACGGCATCTGTGAGACATGGAAGCAGTTCCCACACTACCCTCCGTGGCGCTGGCAGCACCAGCAGCAAGCATACTTCTTCTGGAAGGGCAAGTTCCATCATATCAAACACAAGTGGAGGATCTGCAAATGATGACTTCAGTGATGACGATGATGATGATGATGACGATGATGATGAAAATCTAGAAGGTAAGAACTGATTTTAGAAATCTGGTAGCAATAATATCAGTCCAGTGTGTATCTTTTGTAACAGTATCTGACTCTTTACTCTGTCCGAAGAAACGAAACATTTCTGTGGAATGTCAGCCCTAACACAAAAGTTATTCATAAATTTGTTACTGTTGAGGCAGAAAAACAGAATATGTTTTTTACACTACCATTTGTGATATCTTTTATCTTTCTGTTCATTACTGGTTTGAAATGATAAAAATCTACTTGTGATGTGAGAGTGGCCATATGGTTCAAAAGAAGAAAATCTAAATATTAGCTCCGCCAAACACAAATTTATTACATGTCATGTAATGACCAGCAATCGGGTCATGGCTTAGAATATGTATGACTTGTCCAGTGAAGTTGGAACATAAGTATTGAAACTCTTTGTGACTTTTTAAAATTATTTTTTTTCTGCTTGAATTTAAGGCTGTTCTGTGCCCATTTTTTATTCCTTCCTTTATCTTTCTTTATGATTTAGGCATAGCATTCCCAGTAGACTCACCAATTCCATCCTAACACATCATACTGGATGTCCCACCATGCCCCTTCACCCAATCAGACACATTGAGAAACAAAAACATTTGCCATTTTCTGTCACTGGTATTTTGCAGAACTGTATTCTGACTAATTGGCTGTATATACTGGTGGGTTTTTGTCCAAGGTTTTGACAGATTGTTCCTTATATGTGGATGGGTGGGTTTCTCCTACCACCTCCATAGTTTCAAGAATGTGTAAATGGCTAAACTTGGCACTGTAAACTGAGCTGTCCTGTTTACTGGATGGTAACCTAAGAAGTATCACATCCTTTGAATGGACTGCCAAGGTAACTTGTCTCCAGAGACACTTCAGTTCACCTGGTCATGATCTAGATTCATTGTTAATTATCCCAGTTCTGGGCAGCAAGGAAGTCAGTTGTCTTCTGCTGCATGTCTGGCCCTATGAGCCTGCCTACAAATAAGGTGACAGCTGCATTACGTTTGGATGTACCTCCTGAACAAACTTGAGAGAGGGCAGTTTGAACTGATCTTCATGGTGCTTTATGCCCTTGGTAAGATTAATGGTTTCATACACAGGGTCAGAACAACAAATTTCAAGTGGTGAAAGTGTCCGTGTGAGTGCAGTAGTCCTCTTCTGCCTCTAGCAGAAGGGGGAGTGTCATGATTACACTGCTCTTGTTTGGTCACATTATCTTAACATTCATGTGTTTGATGCATGGGCAGCGAGTACCAGTTTATACATCCTGCAAGAAGCTTCTTAGTGTTCAGCATTTCCTCACAGAATGTTAATTTTATCTTGAAGAATATTGTATTTTTCCATTTTCGTGGCACATTGTAGGATATCCTTGGAGATGATTAGTGCAGTGAATGAAACGTTTCAGTCATCTTGAATACCATTGTGTCCTCAAAGTTGATTTGCTTAGGTGATATGCATTTTTCAATTTGTATATGTAATGCGTATCTTTGTTTTGAGTATTTGTGCATGGATTTAGGACCTGAGTGACAGGCCTGTGTTTAGCTTGGAATAACATTTTATATCTCGATCCTGAGATTTCTGTGCATGGATTTTAGGCCTCCGTGTCATTCCCCTGTGTAGCCTGTCAATTTTATCATTTTGAATGTGATGCTTATGAGTACAAAATCCATTTTAACTCTTGGCTTTAATCAACTAGCTCATACACAGTTAACTGCAAATATATTATTTTACTTTGTTGTGTCATGAATCTATACTTGGCTGTATATAGTATATAAATAAGAATGACAGAATTAGTTAGGCAGTTACAGGTTACAAGTTACAAGTTATGAGTTATGAGTCAGTCAAAAGCTGGAGGAATGAGTCAGAAGAAGTTTTAGTTCCTAGGTTCCAGAGAGATTGAAGACAAACTAGCAAGAAGACTTTATAGTGATACGAAGTTCCGATTTTCGTGTTGAGATCCGTTGCTAGGAGACAGACAGTGGAAACTGAGAATCCTAGTGCGTGTGCACACTTTACCGTTTTCATATTCGATATAGTACCACATATTCCAGAATGAATAACGAATTGGTCCATGTATCTTTGTAGTGTGTATCTGTTGTTTACTTATTCTTCATACATTTCTGCAGTAATACATCTGTTTTTTTTACTAAATATGTCATAATGTTAGAGGACTGCCCTGTGGAGGTATTAGACACTGGAGACCATACAAAATATGCTTGGGGTGTAGTCCAAGCAAGCTTATTTTCCCATCACTTCCCCTGTTAGAAAACCAGTGTGACAGTGAGCACAGTGGGATCATCAAACATACGAGACATTGATAATGGGGATTATGACAACACCAACATACTGTCCCACTGTGTTCATCCAAAATGACATATCATAGAAGAAATGATAAAAACTTGGGAAAACAGTTAATTTTGGTGCTGAAAGCATGTGATTTATGTCCAGGGTAACTCATTTCCCCATTACTTCCTCTATCAGAGAAGCATTGTGAAAACGACAACAGTGAGGTTTATTCTCGACAGGATTCATGGAAGGTGAATAAATGGAGTGAAATGAAATGACAGTGTAATTCTGGCAACAGTGGGTTCCATCCTGTCTCTCCTAGTTGACACATCACAGAAAACGTTTGCAAATACAAAAGATGTTTATCTTGCAGAAACAGCACAGAGAAGACTGTGAACTTGCTGCTACATGCATGGGTTTGAGTCCAAGCCATCTAATTTTCCCACTAATTCATCTTGCTGATGATATCATAAGACACTTACTGTCAGTAAAAGAATCTATGAGTAGGTAATTTCCAGATAAATAAGTGCATAACATGAATTAGTATTAGTATTAGATGTGAATTTCATTGTAGTAGTTTTTATCCTCCTATTCACATATACATAGTGTCAGTATTTTGTTTCAACAAACTGAACTTAATATTTTGTCATGAAATTTAACATTTTGGTCACTAACTGTATAGCCCACAAATATGTAGTTAATCTCCAATCTCCAATCTTGAGATAGGGCATGACAGCTTAAAGGTCACAGTTTTTTCAACATTTCAAGCCTCAAGCCTGCAGAGTAGCATGTATCATGTTACCATATGTTGCAGTGCTACCGTACAAACAGTAGTCTGTTATAAAGATTGACAGAACCATTGATGTGTTTTTTTCTTTAATAAGGAAACTAGAACAAAGGATCATGTAATATATATTTATATATTTCTAATTCTGTTTGTGATATAGAGAAAGTATTGAGCATGGGGATGTACACAACAGAGAACAAGAATCTCATCAAATCTGCATCAATGGGGCCGCCTCGAACAGACTCCATGTCAAGCCATGAAAGCATGATTCGAGCAGAGAGGGCCAGCATGGGAATGATAGGTCAACTACCGCGTGGGCAGCCATATAAGATTCACACTGCAGATGCAGACTGGACAGATGCAGAAGATTCTCAACCACCGAAACCCAAAAAACAAAGTAGCCAAATTTCTAAGGAACTCTCTGACATGGTCATATATATCCAGGTAAGAAAAAGCAATCACCTTTACATTCAGAAATTAATTTTGTCCTATCTGTTGAAATTATTATTGCATATGTGGGGTCTTATTGAGCTTCAGATCTAGCAGAAATATCAGAAATGTGTTTAGGAAATTGTGGCTTGAGACCAGGTCTAAAACTTAGGGTGGATATCTGAACTCCTGAAACCACAGTCTTGCATAATGACCTGATCTTTCTGTGACTTCTGGGTCAGGTCATTAACTAACTTCATGGAGCTGGGCCCTTCTTGAGAAGCCATTAATTATGCCACTACTCAAGAACTTCCAAACATTTTATGGAACCTGAATGCCGTATTCACAAGAGTCTTCCACTGGTCCCTGTCCTGAACTAGATCAATCAAGTCCATACCACCCAATTCTGTCTCTCCATTTTAATATTATGACATGTCAACCCGCTGCTGGGTGACGGGATGTGGAACGAAGTTATGCAACCTGCTTCTAAACGCCAGCCAGTAAACAAGACTCCTGCATAGGCGCGATGACATCATAATGCAGTAATGAGGAGGAGCCACATGACCTCCGCGTTTCTGCGAGTGAAGTCACATACCCCCATCCAGCCTCTTGCTAGGCGATGCCCGGTAAACATCCCTCCATGCTAGGCTGTGTCATCACACAACAGTGGTAGCTATCATGTAACTGGTTTCTGTGGAGTCCATTGCTGGACAATCACTCAGTATAGGCTGTTTCTCTGCATGGTCAGTAAAGAGGCTATATAAAGACAGATACAGACAGGACAGGAGTCAGTAATGAGTCAGTATTTGGGAGTACTTGAGAGTGGCGGAAGCAAGCGAAATGGAACCAGGAATACAGAAGGTCGCCCTGTGATGATGTTAAGTGTAATTGGGAGATTTCATGTGCAATACTTGGAGTGATTTGAAGTGCTAGTTTCTGAATGAAGATCCGTTGCTAGGAGACGACTAGCGGAAGACAGAGAATCCTAGTGTGTGTGCAACGGAGAACTTAAAAGTGTGCAAGGCAGTGATAGTGCTGTATTAAGTGGAATTAAGAGAGAGTGTGTAACGAAGAGGTTAAGAAAGCCAGTTACCAAGCTGAACGGCGTCTCCAGTCGCCCAAACATAGTACAATATTATCTGTGTGCCTACTTTTGAGTCTTCCCAGTGGTCTCTTTCTTTCTAGTTTTCCCACCAATATCCTGTACGCATTCCTTTGCTCCCCCATTCGTGGTCCATGCTCCACCCATCTCATCCTCCTTGATTGGATTATTCTAATTATCTGTGGCAAAGAGTACAAGTTTTGAAGCTCCTCATTATGCAGTGTTCTCCAACCTCCTATCAGTCAATTCCTCTTCTGTCCAAATATTGTCTTCAGCACCCTGTTCTCAAACACCCTCAGTCTATGTTCCTCCCTTAATGTCAGAGACAAAGTTTCACACCCATACAGAACCACAGGCAAAATTATAGTTTTGTATATTCTAATTTTTATGTTTTTGGACAGCAGACGAGAAGACAAAAGGTTCTGGACTGAACGGTAGCAAGCATTGCCCGAGTTCAGTCTCCTCTTAATTTCCTTCTGAATCAGGTTTGGATCTGAAGCATTCACAGCATTCACATACTAAATTCCTGCATGCCTTAGTACTCAAGTATGTAAGTAACTGAAAGTTCTGTGTTCCTCCCAACTGCAATTTAGAAGAAGAGTTAAGTTTCCCGGGATAAAACGCCATGTAGTCCACTGAAAATCAACCAGCATTTCGGAGGAATGTGATGCCTTTATCTTCAGGGTGGAAATATAAGCTGATGAAGAAACCTGTGTGAGAACAGCTTGCCAAGCGCTGTCTTGCTGGTTTCTTGTTCATCTTATTCTTTTCCCATTAAGATTGAGGCGAAATATTCCTCCAAATCGTCTATTCACTTTAAGCTGACTACACAGCGTTAGAGAGCTGCAAACCCTACAAGTCAGACATTCCACTGACCTGTTGTACTCAGCATTTAAGTGTATTGGGACTGAGGTTGTTACACGAGACTGCAGCGTAAGTGGTGCACCTCAGTTCTATGGGAGAGTCACATCCTGATGAGAATACTTAAATTTGTATTGTTTTCAAGTTCCTCAAATACGTGAATAGAAATAACGTCACAGTTTTTTCTGATCTCTGCATGGTTTCTGTTGGGTTATTGTGAAGGGGTAGACGTGTAGCGTAGGTGGTTGAAACAGGGCACACATACAGAATTTTGTTACTGAACAGGTTGATTTAAGTCTAAACTTGCATTTGGGAGGTGCTTTGTTCAAATCACATCCAGGAAACCGTCTGTTGCGACTGATGTGTTTTGTGTCTCTCATTCCCTCTGTTAGGCCACTGCTCTTCCCTGCTGATTCCTCTCCATTTAACCACGTGTCAATAATTCCATCATCAGCATCGTTAAATAACCAACTTAGTACTGAACCCTTGCCTTCAGTAAAACATGGGAAATTTGTTGAGTAGCTCAGCAGCGTTTAACAGCTTAAAGATGAGTCTCTTTCATGAACATACTTAAGTAGTGTCAAAATTTTTAATTCTGTTACCTGATGCCTCAAAAGAAGGAAAAAAACACACACAATTTAACCCATCTTGCCAGAGCTTTTCATCTCAAGTTTATGTGACCATACCCTCATCTTCTCTAGTGAGTCCTAACAAATTGTCAGTCACATGTTCTTGTACAGACTATTTGAGGTTACTTATTGTAAGAAATAAATTAACATTTTTAAAATTAAAATTTTATTTTTCTAGGCAATTAAATTTCGTGGGCTGAACACTATCAGCCCCAACAGCTCAGTGAAATGCAAGAGAACTAGTGGTCCAGTTGCTGCTTCTGGCATTATGAAGAAGAGCAGTGTAGGAGCTGTATCCATACCACCCCCAACAATTATCACCAGCACACCAGCCACGCCAACATCGGCTGCCACGCAGGCTTCCAGTGGTGGTTCGGCCTCACTCTCCACAACTTCTGGCATGGGTAGCAGCATTGTAACAGGCTCCACAGTTTCTGAACAGCAACATAGCTATGCAAAACAACGTACCAATGTGCATCATCCATGCTACCAGTGTTCCTCGCTCAATGAAAATACAGCAAAGAAACTTTGCCGCAAACAACCTCATGCCTTAGTGGCTCATACAGAGACACAGTTAATGCGAACATATCCTGCTGGAATGAGAATAGACTCATCAAACTTCAATCCAGTCATCTTTTGGGCGTTTGGTATTCAAATGGTTGCACTAAACTACCAGACTGAAGATGCAGCACTGCACCTAAATGCTGCGATGTTTGAACAGAATGGTCGCTGTGGATATGTTTTGAAACCCTCAGTGATGTGGGATCGTGGACACATGATGTACAGACGTTTCAATCCATGGGACAAAGAATTTGATGGTCTACATTCGTCACATCTAATTCTAAATGTGTTATCAGGACAGTATGTGTGCCAGAGTAACCTGACGGCTAGCACCTATGTGGAAGTGGAAGTAGTAGGGATTCCAGTGGACTGCAACAAGCAGAAAACTAAGGTGATACAGCGGAATGCACTGAACCCAATCTGGAATGATACATTCTTCTTCCAGGTGATGTTTCGTGATCTAGCATTCCTTCGTTTCAGTGTGTTAGATGCAGGAACGAACCACCTGTTAGCACAGCGTGTGTTACCACTCAAGTGCCTACGGCCAGGTTATCGTCATGTGAGGCTCCGGTCTCCACAGAACCAGCCACTGCAACTCTCCACACTTTTTGTGTATTCTCGAGCTGAGGAGGAGAGTCTGGAATACAGTGGGGGCTCGGTGGAAAATGGTGATGCAATACACATGGGTGCTAGAGGTAGTGTGGGTGGAGCCCCAAAGCATGGCAGAGACAGTGTTCCAGAAGCAGTGGCCATTAAAAAGGATCACCACCCAGGCAGTGGTGCAGTACCGCTCAAGAGGAGAATGTTCTTTTTGATGGTACATGGTGTTGTGCCTGAAGAACCGTACACAATCCTAAAGATCACACAAGAAAGTACGACTCAGGAAGTGGTTTTACAAGCATTGCAGAAGGCTGGCCTAGGTGCAGAGAAAGTGCATGACTACATTCTAGTGGAGGAGGTGGCACGTAGTTGGGAAAAGAAAGATAGGGACGTACCTGCTACACAGAGAGTACTGGACCTGCAGGAAAGGCCGCTGCAAGCACAGGCACAATGGCAAGGCGAGGGTCGCTTTCTGCTCAAGAGGATGGGGGATGATCCCAGCAGCAGGGCTTGGTTGTCTTCTATCCGAAGCACTGCAGGACGAGAACGCCGCTCCATGCCTTCCTGTATGGGAGGTGATGCTGCAGGTTCCGGAGTACCACCTGACAGCATGCATCAAGAGCAGCAGCTCCATACTTGGGAGGAGGCTGACACTTTCTTAGTGTGTGTGTACAATGTCTCACCAGAGATCCCTTATGCCATCCTCAAGGTACCTTTGAGTTCATGTGCACAGGATGTACTGGCACAGGCACTGGTGAAGGCAAGGCGCATGGAAGACCCAGCACGATTTGTACTGCTAGAAGAACTTGAGTGGGGTGGGACAAGTGGCGGTAGTGCTACTCGTCAGCAACGCGTATTAGGGGATGATGAGAATGTGTACAGTACTCAGGCACATTGGCAGACTCTGGGCCGGTTCATACTAAGGGAACGTGACCAGGTAACACCGCCATCTGGAAGACGTTATCGTGTAGCAGCAAACTTACGTACAGCCACTCTTGAAAGACTTAGTAAAGGTCTTTCTGCTGGATATCGGGCAGGTATGGGTGGAGGGAACAAGGAAAAGGTTCCAGTGCAGGAAGCATTAAGTGATCCTACTACAACCCGTAGCACCAAACCAAAGTTGTCTGCAGGAGGTGATGGGATGAGGCTGGGTAGTGCACGAGTGATTGCTTTAACTGATAGGGTTAGATTAGCTAGGGCATCCGTGCCACAGCAAACTCGAGAAGTACATTCAGAGGGTGAGACTCTCAGTGATGACGAAGCAAGGGATGCAGATCTCAGGACTACTGTGTCACGACTTAAGAAGGTCTCCCTTCGGAAACTCCGGGTGTGGAAATCTTGAAGGATGCTTCGTTGTAGTCTTGAAGAATTGTAGGAGGCCCATCACAAATGACATAAGGAACCCCATGATACATACCTGGAATAGGTTAGAACTATTCTAGCAACATGTAGAGACCAGTGGTACAGAGACAAGGAGTCAGTCACTCTACAGATTTTGATAATTCATATCTCATAAAAATTTGAATATTTCATTTTACTTCCCTGCATAATTTGTATGATCCCACTTGCTACAAACTTAAGAACATTAAACTGAATACAATGCTTTATGAGTGAGCACACCTGATATGACCTTAATCTGCAAATACATTGTTACTATAGCAACTGACTCCTTGTCCTATCCACCTGGCTTCTATTTATTCTTAGGAGATTTGTATGAGTTTTGTTGTTGCCCAAGTCTAGTCATAAGAAACTTTCTGTGATACTTTATGTACTGTGTACAGTTTGCATCCAATACCTCTTATTATGAGTTGTTGTCTGCAGCCATAACCCATACCTCTTTCTACTGCTGTACTTGCATCTAAGGTATGGCTTTACTTTTAGTCTTTCATACTTGTTTCATCTAACTTATATGCTCCTTTCCAATTACATGCGAAACAGATTTTTAATATTTTTTTTACATTTATTGGATCCATTTATATATATATGTGCACAGAGTTCTTTATATTTATTGTTGAAAGCTATGTTGCCCCACTGCTCTTGTGCGTAGTTCAGTGTTGTCATCCTACTCAGTGTAGTATTTCTTGATATGTCTGGTGAAATGTGACAACTGACAATTTTCCGTTTCCCACATCATACAGCCTTGTCATGGGCTCTTATCTTCTTGCTTCAACGTAACATTGGAGTGTTACAATATACGAATTTAGGTACCTTGCAAATTGGCACATAGCCAGACACCGCAGTGGGCCAGTAATCATTATCATGGCTTAAATCTGTGACAGGACATTGAACGAAGAACCTCATCATCTTTGTGTACTTTTATTTGTGTTTACAAATGAGACGCCCCTGATGGACGGTTTCCAACTTTTCTTGTTCGGATTTATAGAAAATTACCATTTATAGCAATTGTCTGTGATAGAACTTTATTGGAGCCTGCTTGTTAATAACATTTTGCACCTTTCATACGTCAGTGCCACAGATGTATCGTCATTATGCAACTAGTGGCACATTTCAGTCAGTGAAGTGTAATGACGAACATATTTCTAATATTGTTGTCCAGTATCATTGTTACACTTTAGTTACCTTGGAATTTAATTTAAAATACAGTTCTTGTAAAATGTAGTACAACTTCCCTTCCTGAAATAATGATTATCTTGTCAGGTAGCGTTTTGAAATCTATTGTTTTATCTGTAACAGCAGTGAAATATAGGTACATACATAACAAATTATTTTAATGCCTCTTTGGTTGACCTTCCTCAAAGTCATTTCTTAACCAGAGCAGATATTACGCATTTTTGGATCTCAATCTAGGATATCGATTGCTGAGACAGAGTCGTCGTCATGTGAGAAATATAAAAACAAACTTTCTTAAAAATTAAGGTGTGTTGAAAAATTTCTAAACAATATATGCATTCTAACCTGTCTGTGAGTTTTAGTTATTCTTGAGTCACGGCACTGTGACCCACTATAGATCTGATGCTGATCTGTCCCGTGATTTTCCACTCTTTTCTTTGATATCCGCATATTAAGGTAAAGAAATAATACACGCCCAAACCATTTGAAGTCCTTCAGTTGGTATGACATCTATGCCATAAGAAATTACTTGTGTGAAAGTAATTTTTTCAGCCACTGTTAGTACCAAAAATTATTGTATTTCCATTGTAGGCTTTAGTATCTACTTTCAATGTCTACTAGATATGTTTTTAGCGATTTAATGGAATTTGTGTTACATAATTGGCATTGCATCTGTGGTAATGCAGAAAGTATTCTTCTGACCAAATTATAATTATCAAAAGTATTAGAGATAGGAAGGCAAGCATCATACATTGTATATAAGTATGTATGCATATACTTACAGGTTCTGTTGTTGATCAGAGATGAATTTAATTTAATACCTTTTGAAGTAGTCCATTTAAGATCATCTGATATTTTGGAGGAACATATCAACACCAAAGAATAAGCCAGGCAAGAAACCTGCACGAGGCAAGAAGCAGAGCTTGTTGCCTGCTTGGAGGAGGCGACATGTTCCTCTGAAATGTCGGTTGATTTTCAGATAACTACGTTGCGTTATGCCCCAGAATATAGAACTCTTCATAACCAACGCTGTCAGAGACTCAAATCATATGTAAATTTAATAGATCTTAAAATGACTACATATAGCTTTAAAATTACATATATTTTTATAGTGTAAATATTCCCCTTTTAGTATGAAATCCTGCTGGTTGGGAACCGCCTCATTCATTTATTTAAACCTATACAGGTGGTGTGCCATAGCTTACAGCCACACACACACGTGGCATGCTTGCAGCTATATATTTACAAAGTTGAGTGTCAAATACTAGAACAACAGACATTTTATTTGATCTGTAAAGACCAGACTCATAATGTACATCTGGGAAGATACTGTTTCATCCATTGTTGATATCTATATGCACAAAGATAACACACAAGGATGTATTTCAACATATTGGGCATGTCTGTCATTGCATTTGTTTTGTTCAATGATGAAGCACAAAATGGAGGTGAGTGCTCAAGTAACATTAATGGTTATTATTAGGGTAACAGTGAGGTTCTTGAGAAGGGGCCATGTTGTTATCTGCTGTACTGTAGTATGCATTGGGTGGCTGTGAAACTATGTTACACTTATCAGGGGGTAGGTTTCTATTTATTTGGCGTCCAAAGCACAAAAGTTGTAGAGCACAGTGTTATACATTAGCTAGGTTTTGAAGTGTTATCATAATCTTATTCTATCACCAATAATCACTGTGTACAGGCTGTCTAATAAAGTTGGAATATATCCTTCTGCAAAAAAAAAAAAAAAGGAATTGTTAACCCCCGCAGATAAAGTCGAGTGCAGTGATTATACAATAAACTGATCATTCTTTTGTTAGCCTAAGTTATGACAGTTTGCATAATTTTGAAAAGACATTACTGTAAGAATAAAACTCCATCATCTGCAACATAAATATGCCAACAAGATAAGCATAGCTGTGCTTCATATACTGTATAACCAGCATGCCCAGTCTTTGCCAGTCATTGAAACTTACATCTTGCAGAAAGTCTCAGACTCCAAACCTCAGACTGTAATGTATATATACTGCACAGTCTGTAATGGAATTTGGAAGCTGATATAACCCAACTTATCCTGGGTCAGTGTTTCTTATGCAGCTTTAAGTATCTGCAAAAGTCAGATACTCCTCCAACCCGGTTACATTTCAGAATTTAGTTCAGTTATATTTATAATAACGGATGATCCAAATATTCTTATCGCTAAGTATGACTTGGCATTCTGAATGTCTGTGTGCAAATACTAAAGTTACTGCAGCATTTGTCGCACTGTGATAATGAGATCAGTCTCATACATGTGTAGAAATGGAAACAAGTATTTTCATAGCATATGTGTTATTTTATATTCTAATTTTGGGCTGTTAGTGTAATTTATTAACGAAAATACTATTATGCGTTAGTGACTAGACACGGCATTTGGATTGGTAATTGGATTTACTGAACACTTATAACTCGTAACTATAACAGTTTCACGGATCTGCATACTCTACATATCACTGTCCTGCAGCACACATGAAGTCTTCTGTGGCTTCAGTCATTACCTGGTAACGGCTTGTAACAATGTAAATTCCTCTACTTCCATACTCATGTTCTTACCAAATGGTGACTGTCTCGCAACTGTCCCTTGATGTCAGCTGTCTAGCATGGCCAGCTAAATTGCTGATGGCTCTCGCCAGCACAATTATTCTTACTTCCTAGTCCCATGGGACTCATGACCATATGTTACTGCACTGATTGCTGTCAGAGTTAAAGTTATGTTACGACAAACAGTCAAATTCCAGTCTGTCTTGGTGTCAGGAAGTATGTGTGGCGCTCTCTCTGATGAGAGGACAGGTATGTCGTTTATAATTGGTGCTGGCCCACGTCAGTGCAGTCATTCTTGGGTCCGAGTCACACGGGACTCATGCCCATATTTTACTGTCTCAGATTCGAGACTCCCCCAGCCTGGAGGTCTAGGTCCCCATATTTATATCCCCCAAAAACAGGGTGACCCAGTTTCTCTTCTACACATTGGGTTCCATTTTCTTCACCTCCTGCGACTCGGAGGACTATGGTGAAGGTATTGAAACCTGCCTCCACGCATGCCTCCCCATTAGTCCTCGAGCCACAGGTTGGACCGCATGGAAAACACTGCCCCAGCAGCTCCTCTGTTGCTATATGACATGTCAAAATGGACTGTTGCTTAGCGACAGCTCTAGTGTTGATTCAGGCTCATGTTTAGCAGCTGTTGCCTAACAGTTGACGGCTACTGTTTTAAACTATCCCGTCACATCACAGAACATTGAAAAACAACAGTCTCTAAACCAAAATGAAACTGGGAGATATAAATGTTTTATGTAATCTTTTTCTCCAGGTTTTGCTTCATTACATAACTGCAATTCCTGAACTTAATTGTCCAGTAAAAGTACTGGCATTAGAGAGGATGTGGTAGAGGAGAAATGGAACATAGCAGTACATCTTTTCCCTTACAGAACATGGTACAAAATATTTCGACAATTTCGACAAATAGGAAATGGTATAGTGTGAGAGGAATATGATCATATATGAATACTACAGCTACTGTAGCTACATGCACAGATACCTTACTGTTATATCTGTACATATGAAGACAGAAAACTCTTCATATATTAAATTAATTTATGCTATTGGTTAGTTCATAAGGAAATTTCATAGTACGCCAACACTGCCAAGAATAACGAATTCACCCATGCCATATGTTAGAAGATATCTGAGAATGAGGTAGGAATAGAACATAATTTGATTGTGTATAATTATATGCCATGTTTTCCAGAAATATAAGGTTGGACTTTGGAGTAGCTATCATTCAGTGTAGTTTTGTGAACGAAATGGATACAACTGCATTAATGTCATGTTTTTAAAGTTGTCAAAAAGTCAACCTTTACAAAAATTTCCGTTTCTGACAGCATGTGATATCTGTTGGAATTTTGTCATGTTTGTGAATTTTTCCATACATATTCAATTCTTAAGGAGTTCCCATATACGCGGCTATATAAATTATCTGAGTTTTAAGAAACAAATTTATTTTCAAAATTATTGAAGATACAAGCATGATAAAACTTGAAAACAGCATTGAAACTCACGCAGTTTATGTAGAGATGTTCAATATATACCCAATTAGTTATTCAGTAAATGTCAACATCATATTTGAATTCTTCCAATGTACATCAGAACTGTGATCCATCAGTGGCTGTGGCCCATGAAATTTGCTTTTGAAGGGACTGTGGCATCATAGGTTGGTATACCTGTTTTTTCCCATCTTGCCATAAGTAGAAGTTATATGGTGTATGGTCCAGGGATCTAGGAGGTCAAGCACTTGGTCCTGCCCATCCACTCAAACCTTTTTGCACTTAAGATGCCATTTTTCTTTAGTAGTGATTGGGGCACCACTTCCTCTTGATACATTACCACCGATGTTGCTAACGAAACTTAAGGAGTGTCCTTACTGTTTTCAAATTGTATCTGTAACCATTTTTAAAGTACACTAATCTCTTGCTACCCAAATCATTATAATAGTCATGTATGTGTGTGCATGTGTATGTGTTTTATTTACCATGAGGGAAAGGAAGATCTGCAAACCTGGAATGGTGACTTGACACTGCAGGAATTAAAGCTGTCACATCTGCAGTTCAAGTTAAGAGGTGCTACACAATTAAAAAAGATGCCTGACTTTGCTAGAGTGTATGTTAAAATTTTGAAGAATAAATATTTTTACCTCGAGGTGTCGGTATGAAGATAATTTATTCTTTATCATTTGAACTCTTTGGTTACATTTTTAAATAGGTGTAATTGGCAAGCCCATTTGTACTACTTATTAATTGCAGATTAGCATTAAAAGACACGTTTAACATTTGTAGCAGTTCTATAAGTTTATTATAATTTCACTTTGTTCCAGATTTATCCAAGCAAAGAAACACTGACTCATACACAATGGCAGCATGTCAGATTTTGAGACATGGTAACAGTGTGCAGTTGAATGCACACCAATTTTTATTTGTTATACATTTCAATATTAATATTGTAGATCTTAAGTCATGTGATATGCAACACGTGATGCAGTTAATGTACATAGGAAACACGTTTCACTATCGTATAATAATAGATACTTATAAATATTGTATCTTATAGAATACAAGAATTCTGCTTCTGTTTTACATAGCATATAGACCAGTAATATGCTAGGATTTCTATTTTTGGCCGTAATGTAAGAGATCTCTTACACAGCAGCCCAATGAATGTGTTACATGGTGCAAATTTCAGGAGAAAAAGTAAACATGCATGAGTATGTTGATTCTTTGAACCAGTATTTTGTCCTGCAGTAATGGTATATTTTTCACATTTCTTAAATACTTGTAAAAGTTCCTCATTACTTGTAGCTGACTGACTTGAATAAAAACTTGGAGGCAGCTGAACCCTAACCTCTTAGTATGCACTTCATCATGCATGTGACCTCTTCCTCCTCAAATATGAAATACAGTATTTCTTCTGTTCCTGTCAAACATCACATATTTCGATAAACATAATTTATCCCTACAGAACTTTTAAGACTAATGGACAACTCTGCTCTAAAAGCTAAAATCCATGAGGGCACATTTAAAATTATATATTTGAATGCATGATTTACAGTTAGTTCTAGTATAACTCCTAATTATGGAGAAATCAGATGTCTAGTTTGTAAATTATATTTTCCTCAGAGTAACAAACGGTATTATATTTCATAAAAAAAAATGTTCATTTTTGCAAAGGAAATTTGACCAGTGGCGAAATATATCTTTTGAAATAAAAATTTATGTACCTTTGGAAGTCACCATAATTACGTGGCAAGTAGAGAATTTGAATGATATTCCACCATCAGAAGCAAACACTAAAGTGTGATTTACTTAATCCTTTATATGTGATATCTATTTTCAAACACTGTAGTATCCAGATTATGTACTGTAATTTGATCACCACCGTCAAAGCTGGGCGCTGAATTGTCAATTGCCAATAATCATCATAAATAATACATATACATGACTAATATTAATTTTATTTTGTATAATGCATCTGAAATTTATGTTTTGAAAATTGCTATGCATGTGTTACTTTTTCAATTAAAAGAATGTTAAGGAGGAATGAGTAAAAGGCATCACTAAACTGAATTCTACCCACATGGACTGAATATGGATTTCCTGAGGCAAGTATATATATCACAGAACTTAAATTTCTGTGTCTATTCAGTCATATTACGTTATGTTTTGACTACTTGTATTATTTATTTTAAGAACTGAAAACTTTAGAATAATGTTAGTTGCTTGAAATGTATAATCTCTGTTACAAAATCACTATTCTAAATGCATCCAGCACAAGGGTCATAAAAGACATCCGTGTATTTATATATTTCAGAAAGAAAAATGAAAAAGAAAAATAACGGAAGTCGATTTAAAAGTAATGTATCATACAAATAAACCCCTCTAATTACACACTCTTTCCATATCAAAATGTTGCTTGTAAATAATTTTCCACTTTTATATATATATATATATACATAAATATATATATGTATATCTTGTTCTTGTTTCCTTCATGTTGAAGATTTTTTCCTTTGCAGCTGTAATTACGAATAATATTATATTTGATATATTGTTCTCAACATATCCAGCCCTCTGACTTGAAAATTTCCAATAAAAGAAACTATAAGTAAGTAATTTCTTCTTCATCGTCATTATCATTATGTGCCTCTTCACTTCAAGGATTAATTACTAGCCTTTTTCAGCTTCGTTTACGATTCTCACCACATCCTCTCTTGTCTTCCGGTATCTGCATTGCCATGCACCACATCCTCTCTTGTCTTCCGGTATCTGCATTGCCATGCACCACATCCTCTCTTGTCTTCCGGTATCTGCATTGCCATGCACCACGTTCTCTCTCCATTCCGTTATTTGCATTGCCATGCACCACATCCTC